GGTGCTGCTGCTGGGGATGCACGGCTGTGCAGGGACCCTGCTGCTTTGGCCAACAAGGAGGAGCTCAGGTCGCTGGTGCCCAGCCAGTGCTGCTGGTGTCCGCATCAGGAGCACCGGTTCGCAAGGGTGGCCATCAGCCACCGCGGTTGCCAACACCACCGGAGGCAGCCGATGCCACTGGGGGCAGGCAGGGTGCTTTTGGGGACTGTGTTCTGCTCTGCCCCAGCCTGGGAAAGTGGAACATCGTGGTTGAAACTGAGGGCCTGTTGCAGAGCTCCTTAGGCCCGGAGCTGCTTTTCCTTGCTTTCAGTTTGTCTGGGCATGGGTAAAGAGCTGTAAGCAGAGCTCTTGGGGAGTGTGAGGCTGAAGGAAAGCGAAGGTGTTGGACCAATTTCTTCCCTTTCATCCCACAGAACAGCCAGGCTAAAAATAACCCTTCGCCTCATGCTGCGTGGGAAAATAAAGGAGACTAGAGAGGGAGTGCTCCTGGATCATAGCACTTAAAGACCTGCTTGGTTTAAAAGCATAGATAGAATCCTGTGTGCCTGAGGGGGGAGAGGGAAAGAACATAACCAGTGCCACTGTCTGGGAAATCCCATGGGCAATAAGGCATGTTCCCTTTGCAGTGGCAGAGACTGAACAGCGTGATGAGCTACTGAAGAGGCAGTGTCGCCTGCCCCACCGTATCTTCATGTGCAGCCTGGGAGCTGCAGTTTAGTCAGCATGTGCCACCAGGATGGCTGGGCCGGGAGTCATGGAAGCATTTCATCTGGGAGTCTGTGGCTTCGGAACAAACCAGGCACATAGCATGGGAGAAGAGTCTGTGATGCTCCCCACCTCCTTTCAGCCATCTACAGCTGTTTGGGAGAGGTGGCCCCAAGAGTGGTGATGGGGAATGCCAACAACTCCCTGATGGCCCTGCCTGTTCCTCTGTGCAGGATGGTTCCCCCACCGCCTGTCAGCAAGCCCCACATCTGCCTCTCCACAGTGCTCATCATGACCAGCCTTGTCCTCATGGATGCCTACCTGGTGGAGCAGAGCCAGGGCTCCAGGAAGCTGAGCATCTGTGTCATGGTGGCAGTGGGTGATGTGTGCTTCCTGCTGGTGCTCCGCTACGTGGCCATCTGGGTTGGGGCAGAGGTAAAGACAGCCAAGAGAGGCTATGCCATGATCCTCTGGTTCCTGTATGTCTTCGTTCTGGAGATCAAAGTCTACTTTGTGTACCAGAACTATAAAGCTGACCGGAAAAGCCTGGATCTCATAGCCCGCAAAGCACTGACCTTGCTGCTCTCCATCTGCATCCCAGCCCTCTACATGTTGTTGGCCGCCACAGAGCACATGGAGTACGTCAGGACATTCAAGAAGAAGGAAGATCTCCGCAACCGCCTCTTCTGGGTCATTGTGGACATGCTGGACGTGCTGGACATCCAGGCTAACCTGTGGGAGCCCCAGAAGAAGGGGCTGCCGCTCTGGGCTGAGGGCATCATGTTCTTCTACTGCTACATCTTGCTCCTGGTCCTCCCTTGCGTGTCCCTCTGCGAAATCAGCATGCAAGGGATTGGCATCGTGCCTCATCGGATGATGCTGTACCCCATGCTGAGCATGCTCACTGTCAACATCACCACCATCTTCATCCGAGGCAGCAACATGCTTTTCTTCAGGGATGCCCGTGTCTCCAGCATCTTCATGGGCAAGAACTTGCTGGCCATCGCCCTGAAGGTCTGCACCTTCGTGCAGTACCAGCGGCACCAGCAGCACGTGCCCCCAGGGCTGGAGCAGGCCCCGCAGCACAGCTCCCAGGCCCAGCCCTCCCCGGGGCTGCACAAGGCACGGGACCAGCCTGCCTGCCCTGAAGAGCTGGCCCAGGACAACACGTGACAAGCCAGCAGGGACCACAGCCTGGACACTGCCGTACCTGCAGGCCTGAGGCCGGCCACTGAGCTTCCCACATGGACAGAGGGCAGTGGCCCCGCTCCCTCCCTGCCTCCCTGGGCAAAGCTGCTCTGGTCCTCAGGGGTCGCATGGCGAGAGGCCCCCACAGCAGCTCAGGACCTCAGCACCCCACTGAGATAAATGGGGCAGCGGAATGGAGGAGGATGAGGCCCAATTTGCCTGCTCCCCATGCCCTCTGGCCAAGCAGGGCTCAGACTGGGGGCTGCGCAGGGGCACTGCTGTTGTGGTCCCTAACTCAGTGCTTGGGGACAGCCTGCTCCCTGTGCTGGGGGAGCATGGCCTGGGCCTCCCCCTGCCCATCACTCCTCAGCCAGCTACAGGCCTGGGGGGCCCTGAGGGAGGACTGTCCCTTTTTGTATCTCCCTCTTTGCAATAAAAGACCTGAGCCCTGCAGCCTTGTCCTGTGTGTCCCTGCTGGCTGGCAGGCAGGTCCCCTGGCTCCTGTGGGTGCCTGTCCCTCAGGTGATGGCATGGCCAGCTCCAGAGCACATCTGGGGAATGGGGCCCTATTCAGTGACCTGGGGGGAGCATCCCAGGCACCTGGCTCTGAAGCCATTCCTCTTGGCCAGCAGCTTGTGAGTCTGGTGGGATTTGAGGGTGTCACTGGGGGGTAGGGGTAGAAGCTTTATCAGCCATTACTGCCTGTGCAATCAGATGCGGTTACAGTAGTGATGCCAACCATGCCCAATGGCTGCTTTCCCCAGGAACCCCCAAAGCAAGTCCCCACATTCCACCTGGGGGGACAGCAGGGTAGGCTGGTAAGAGACACATGGCCAAGACAGCATTAGAAATGAGTATAACAACCCAACTGACTCCTTATGCTGGGAGGCCACAGGGAAGAGCAGCTTTCCTCACTGTAGAAATCACTCTGGAGATGTTAGAAGCACAGAATCAGCTGAGTCGGAAAAGCCCTTAAAGATCATCGGGTCCAACCATTCCCCAGCACTGCCAAGGCCACCACTAACCCATGGCACTGTGTAACTACACGGTTTGTGAACACTTCCAACGACAGTGACTCCAGCACTGCCCTGGGCAGCCTGTTCCAATGCCTGACTGCCCTTTGGGGAAGGAATTGTTCCCAATATCCAGTCTAAACCTCCCTTGGTGCAGCTTGAGGCTGTTTCCTCTTGTCCCATCCCTTGTTCCTTGGGAGCAGAGCCCAGCCCCTCCTGGCTCCATCCTCCTTTCAGGCAGTTGTAGAGAGCAATAAGGTCCCCCCTGAGCCTTCTCTTCTCCAGACTGAACCCCCCAGGTCCCTCAGTCATTCCCCATCACACTTGTGCTCCAGGCCCTGCACCAGCTCCATTCCCTTGTCTGGACCCGCTGCCACCTGCCCCAGTGCCACCACAGCACTGATTGAGCTGGGCAATGCCCCAGGGCTTCCCCTGCTGCAGGTTATGGGCCCAGGAGCTGGCAGGCAGAGACAGGCCTGTGGGCTCACTCCTCACCACTAATGTGCTGAACAGAAGTGGGTGACAGCCCAGTGAGACTGCCCTCCTTGCAGGACAGAGGCATTTGGCTCCAGAGGAGAAGGCAGGGCGCTGTTTTGGGGGTGCACTAGGTCTGTTCCCAACTGGGCAGGACCTATCTGCAGGGATGGGTACACACGGACTCAGGAATGCTGCTCCCACATGGTCCCTCAGCTGTGACACAGGGGTGAGCCACCTCCAGCCTGTCCACGCTCCCTTCTTCTTCCCTTCTTGCACTGAAGTACAGGTGGAGGTTTGTTCACCTTTGGATTAAAACATGAGAGCAGAAACCAGATCAATGCCACAAGAGTCAGGATAGCCTTGGGCTTGGTGCTGCCACCAAACTCTCCTCTGAAAGCATAAGGATGCTGCAGGCTCATGCCATCCTGAGGCAAGAAGAGGAAGCAGGAGCCAGGCACAGCACAAAGCAGTAAGCCACACAGAGGTTAAAGGCAGCTGAGGATCCCCATGTGGTCTCTAGCCAAGCTGGTATGTCCTATTTCTCTTGCCTTGCCCAAGTCGCACCAAAACCCATCATCAGAGCAGATCTTGCTGCACCCACAGGAAATGCAGATGCTTAGCAGCACCCTTGGGTGGGTGTGACGGAATTGCTCATCATTCCATCTCTTGCTCATCACAAGGCCCTTCTCCAGGCTCCCCACAGCACAGCTGTGCCCAGGGGAACTGCGCCCTGCGGAGCTGAGGCACTCACCCAGCACATGCACTGACCTGTCAGCTCGTCTGCGTCACATCCACACCTCCTTGTCAGCACAGCTACAGGAGATGGGGACAATGAGTGAGGAGAAACAAGAGAGCTGGTGCTCAAATGTAATGATGGAGAGAGAGGTATTCACTCCCAGAGGTTCACTTTTGTCTATACTGGCACTGCTGCCAGGAATAAAGGCAAACAGAGGTGTTTTATTTCATACACTGCACTTGTGAGACTACATCCAGACACTGCATCCAGGCTGCTCCCCCAGAAGATAGATGCTGGTCCTCTGGGCTGGCTCCATTTGAGGATGTGAAAGTTGTCAGAGGCAGGAGCACTGCAAGGAAAAGCTGAGGGAACAACAGGGTTTATTCACACTCAGGAAGAGGAGGCTTTGGGGAGACCTAACAGACCCCTTTCCCACTCAAGCCCCAGACCTATGACAAGAAACGATGGGGACAGGCACTCCCCTGAGAACAAGACAATATGTAGGGACTAAAACCAGGCAGGTTTCCTAGATCAGGACTAAAAGGAGTTTGCATCTTGAGAACCCAAAGCAGTGGAGCAGAGGCCAAGAGAGGTGGTAGCATCTGTCCTTGGATTTTCCCAGAGCCAACTGAAAAGCCCTGGCCAACCTGCTCTGAACCAGAGCCTCTCTGCCCAAGAGGCTTCCTATTCCCACCTCAGGTGGTGAACAGTAACACCTGGAGTAGAGGCAGCAATGCAGGGTAGGGCTTGTGCTCTCACAGCTACAGGAAGAGATGGGCAGGTGCATGGACAGGGAGAGCTTTCAGTGACAACTGCACCTGCATGACAGACTTGTCACCACCCAGGTGTGGTGTAAACCACAGCAAGGAGGACATTTCAGCTACAAAAAGCACTATTTTCTTTAGTTCAGACTCTGCTGCCCTACATCAGCACTGTACAGTGACAGACGGATACCAGGAAGAGGGCCTGGCCCAGGCAGAGTGAGTCCCAGTGCCAGACAAGAGCATGTCTGTCCAGCAGTCACAAGCTCTTCTGCGAGGGCAGGCGGCGCTTGTCTTTGATGGCATTCCTCTTCCTCTTCTTGTTCAGGAAGCTTTCCAGCTTCCCACTCCTCTTCAACTCTGCATACTTATCAGCTAGCTCCAGTTTCTTCATCTCAGCTGTAAAGAAGAGGGAGCAAGGTTTAACACTTCAAAATGAAGCCTGGATCACCTCTACAGACCAGCCCTTCCTCACCTCTCCCTCCCTGGCTCCAGGCCTGGCTTGTCGCTTGAGAACCAGCACTAGAACAATCTCTCCACAGCTCCATGGGATATTATGGTCAGCCCAGTTCCAGTGCTGGAATTCCTGTCAGCAGTACTAGGTGTTCTTGCAGCATGTTCATGCCGAGTACTTACATTTCTTTAGGAAGAAGGGCTTCTTTCCCTGCTTGGCCAATTCCCTCTGTTGTCTCTTCCAAGACAGCTCCCTCTCCCTCAATTTCTGCTGCTTTTGCAGTGCCTGTTCTTGCTGTGTCTGCACAGAAAGGATGACCTATGTCAGCATCTCAGCAGACCTCAGGTCACACACCCTCTCCTCTAGCGCACTGTCTCACAGGAGAGGAGATGCTGCACTGAACTCACCATGCGGTTCAGGAGCTGCTGGAGTTTCTCCTTCTGCTCCACGTTCCGGCATTTTTTCAGCTGCTTCTGAATCATCTGAAGAAGAGAGCAGAAAGCTGGATCACTGCCTGCTGCCACCTCCACTGCGAAAGGCAGAAGCCGCCCTTGCCAAAGCAAGGCTCTTCTGGCCAAGGACAGGCACACAGCATCACCTCTTTCTCCTGCTTCTTGATACTCTCCAGGAAGCTGTAAGTCTTCATAAATATTTCAGGCTTATACTCTCCAGAGAGGTCATCAAATCGAGGGTCTCTGTGGACCTGAAGGCAGGGAAGGCAAAGGTAAGACCTGTGGCCAAGATAATCCTATTAACAGCCTGCTTACTGTCCTTCCATGGATCAGACCTTGTCTCTTTCTGTACTAGCAATATCATGCACCACCACTGAAAACATGTGCAGTTGGCAAAGACAGAGTCCAGTAATGGGACAGCAGTCCCTCACCAAGGCAATCACACCTGCATCCAGCCTGGCAAGCAACTGGCATTTCCATATGCAAGTCTACCACCCAGGAGCAGCCAATTCAAAGAACAGCAACTGAAGTGCTGTGCTGCCTCCAAATACCTGCAACTCCCAGACTAAGAGCTGGCTGAACGTGTGTTGTCAAGGTGATGGATTTGGGAATTCAAACCTATCTAGGTTTTCACAGATTACCTGGGTCAGGTCATACAAAAAAGACACACAAAAAGAGCTCTCTGACTGTGGAAATTCATGTATTAAGATAATCCAGCAATGATAAATCAATGTTAGACTCAGATTAGAAACCAGGTGGACATTTGAACTTCCAGGGTGATTAGTAGTGAACAATGACCACAGCTTTCAGTGCAACTGTCACTGGTGGCAGTCCTTACATCTTCTAGATGCACTTGGGGCTCAAACATTTGAGTTACTCCTCTAGTTGTACATCCTGCAGGGCAGCAGGTTATACAGAGAGCAGCTGCTCCTACACTCAGAGAAACACCAGCACTACCTGTGCTCCCCAAGCCCTCACCCTCCAGAAACAGCCCGTGTCATCTATCAGCATCACTGAGGGAAGTCAGCTCCCCAGCTGGGCAGAGGAGCACTCACCTTCTTTCTGACAGAGACGACCTGGCGCAGAAAAGGTACAGGCTTCTTGGCAGACATCTCCAATGGCCTGAAAAAGAGAGAAGTGTACTTAGGAGCAGCAGAGGACAGAATGAGGCGCAGGTAACGCGTCAGGAGGTCAGCCAGACCCTCACGACAGTATTAGTGCACAATGCCAGAGCAGCAGACTCTCCACTCAGTGCTCACTGTACCTACAGAGAGGCAGGTGCCTTGGTCAAGGCTACTACAACCACATGATCTAGAACTGATCTGTACCACCACCCCATCAGTAAATGGGCCACATGATTATTCCTCTCCCTCTCCATATTTTCATTCATCATGCACCAACCCTCTTCTATTCCTGGCCTACCAACTCATCCACTCCTGACTAATACACTGTAAAGTGAGAACAGAGTTGGGAATTTCTGCACTGATCTGAGAGCTAGAGAGAGGCCAAAGCTGAAGCCAGCTCAGTTCCAGGGCATTTCCCTGAAGCTCTTTTTCTAAGCAGCTCACTTCCAGAACAAAACTGTGAGAGAAACAGCATGTGAGATATACAGCAATGCACCACTTAACGGATTAGGGGAATTAAATAAAAGCAGGATTATGCAAACTGTGTGGCAGAAAGAGAGACACTATGTGAAGATGTTGCACTACTCAAAGCCCCCAAGACCTGGGTAAAAGACAGAGCAGAACTATTACTGTAATCAACTGTTTGCAGCAAAAGAAACATTCATCAATAGAGATTCATCAATAGGTTAGGGAATGCCAGTGTAACAGAGGAAAACTATTCAAATCACTTAGCTACAACCCTAAGGACTGAAAACCAGCTAAGTAGAGCATACAAAGGGTAATGGTATTACAGCTGTTACCAGTGAGGGCCTGTGGAACACTGTGAAAAGATCTAGATGTGATAGTTTTTGTGGTGTTGAACACAGGGAACAGTCTGTGATGATGAATGCTGGGGGAGTGGGGAGGTGTCAACACAGACAAGCAACAGGAGGAATGAAATTCCAGAACAAGTCACTGTCCCTACAACTCCCCAGCCAGCAGGATCCAGGCAGAAAACGACGATGGGCTGGAAGGGGGTTAGAAAACAACATAGGGCCCAAGGAACATAAGTAAAGCACTATTATACAGCTTCAGAGACAAGCATAGCATGCATGGGTTAAAAGAGCCTTAACACAGAGGGTGCAAATGAATTGAGTGCTGATTTAGCTATCAAGTAACAGGTGGGGGATTTGAACAGGACAGGATATTAAGAGCTCTGAAACAGCAATAGAGCATTCCCAAATGAAACACTATAGTGAAGCACATTATCATGTAGCACATTAAAGGACAGCTACAGCAGCTCCAAGGCAATGGAAACACAGCAAAGAGCTCCCAGTATAACTTGTACAGAGAATACACAGGCAGTTTTCTGGTGACAGAGCCACCTCTTTACCCCTTTTTGCCTTGCTGCTGCTTCACTGTAGCTTTGGTAGGTTTGGCAGTTTTCTTCCCACTGGTCACTTGCTTGCACACACTTGTTCTTGAGTCATTCTGCATTTGCAGCAGTTCCTCAAAAGACATGTGAGAGAGATCTGGAAGAAAGTGAGGAGATACCTGAACTGAACAGCTTTCCAAGCACTTCCCACCCCCTAATTCATAGAATCCCAGACTAGTTTGTGTTGGAAGGGACCTTAAAGCTCATCCAGTTCCAACCCCCTGCCATGGGCAGGGACACCTTCCACTAGACCAGGCTGCTCCAAGCCCCTGTGTCCAACCTGGCCTTGAACACTGCCAGGGATGGGGCAGACACAGCTTCTCTGGGCACCCTGTGCCAGGGCCTCAGCACCCTCACAGGGAAGAATTTCTTCCTAATGTCTCATCTCAATCTCCCCTCTGTCAGGTTAAAGCCATTCCCCCTTGTCCTGTCCCTACAGGCCCGTGTCAGAAGCCCCTCTCCAGATTTCTTGTTGGCCCCTTTAGGCATTGGAAGCTGCTCTAAAGTCTCCCTGGAGCCTTCTCTTCTCCAGGCTGACCCAGCCCAGCTCTCTCAGCCTGGCTCCAGAGCAGAGCTGCTCCTGCCCTCTAATGCTATTCACAGAGGTGCCACAGCCATTGCTAAAGCCCTTGACCAAGGCTGAACTAATGGGACATGAGGGAAGCTTCTGGCATCTTCTCACAGAAGCCACCCCTGCTACCGAACCCTTGCCATGCAAACCCAGTGCGCTGCCCCATGACACAGCTTACTGTGTCTTCTGCCTGCATCTGCTGTCAAATTCAGGAATCAACATAAGGTCAGAGCATGGACTCATCCTCCCAGTCACTCTCATCTTGGCAATCACCAAGACTTTCTGCTTCACAATCTACTCACAGCATCCAGTAAATGTACTGAGGATATCAATGTGCTGCCTCAAGCAGTGTTTTCTTTTTCCTTTCTCTGAGCACCCAGGAACCCTGCTCTGTCAAAGCCCATCAGTCCTCTGGGAAGGGTTAAGGGAACACAGTCTATCCAGAAAACAAATGACTCTACGACTTAGACAAAAGCATGTGCCACTGTGCTGCTGTTCAAATCCACACTAATTATACAAGATACTGGGGTACAGAGCAATTAATCACTATAGAAGGCAATATCTGAGTATCACTGGATACTCAAAGCATCGCCACACAGACAAATGAAAGACTCTGAGCAAGGACAGTCAAAAGGGACAAAGAAAGCATTAGGGGGAAGGCAGAATGATGTGGAAGTTATTCTGACATTCCACGGAGACAGACAAGACGTGGTCACTTTCACTACAATACTCCATTTGGCTGCAATTACAAAATGATACCCTTAAATAGCACAGGTTACAAGATGTCAGAGAAATGCTCCAGGCTTGGGGCAGACTGGCTGGAAAGCTGCCTGGAGGAAAAGGACCTGCAGGTGTTGACTGATGGAGCTGAACATGAGCCAAGAAGCAGCCAACAGCATCCTGGCCTGTATCAGCACCAGTGTGGCAGCAGGGCCAGGGCAGTCATCATCCACCTGTTGTGCTGGGCACTGGTGAAGCCGCACCTTGAATCCTGTGTTTGGTTCTGGGCCCCTCACTGCAAGACAGACATTGTGTTGGAGCAGGTCCAGAGGAGAGCAATCATAGAATGGTTTGGGCTGGAAAGAACGTTAAGATCATCAAGTTCCAAGCCCCCTTGCCATGGGCAGGGATACCTCACACTAAACTATATCACCCAAGACTCCATTCAACCCGGCCTTTAACACTGCCAGGGGTGGAGCATTCACAACTTCCCTGGGCAACCCATTCCAGTGCTTCACCACCCTAACAGGAAAAAACTTCTTACTTATATCCAATCTAGTAAAGGGTCTGGAGCACAAGTGTGATGGGGAATGGCTGAGGGAACTGGGGGGGTTTAGTCTGGAGAAAAGAAGGCTCAGGGGGCACCTTATTGCTGTCTACAACTGCCTGAAAGGAGGATGGAGCCAGGAGGTGGCTGGGCTCTGCTCCCAAGGAACAAGGGAGAGGACAAGGGAAAACAACCTCCAGCTGCACCCCCAGGTCCTTTTCCATGAGCAGCTTTCCAGCCACTCTTCCCAAGCCTGGAGCGCTGCATGGGACTGGTGTGACCCGTCACTGAGCCTGGTTGAACCTCACACTATTGGCCACAGCCCATCGATCCCGCCGGTCCAGACTCCTCCCGCAGATCAGCTCGGTGTCATCTGTGCCCTCATCCGGATTGGACAAAAATCCCCCAAAACACGCTAAGCGGCACCGGGGTGAAGGAGCTGCCATGGGGGAACGGGACCAAGCCGTTGTCCATTCTCTTTACACCGCACGGGTCGGACAGAGCGACCACGCAGGGAGACCCGCTGCTTCGGGGCAATGCCAAGACCGAACCCGCCCCATCGTGCTCAGCGGCCTGAGGGGTGACGGCACGTCCGGGGCTGGGACCGCCGGAGCGAGGCAGCCCTCACCTGTCCCGCAGGCCCCCGCCGCCTCCTCCTCCTCCTCCCCCAGAGGGCCCTCGCCGCCGTCGCTGCTGTCGTCGCTGTCGCTGTCCGCCGCCTCCAGCCCCGCGAGCGGCTCATGCTGCTGCTGGTGCTGCTGCTCCTCCTCAGCGGCGCCTCCGCGCCTGCCGGGCCGCGGCCGCCGCATCCCCGGTGAGAGCGGAAGCCACACACGGAAGCGGAAGTGGCGGTGCGGAAGTAACACGGAGTCACGCGGGTGGGGAAAGGCGTTTATTGGCGGAGGCAGGGCGCGTACTGCGCGTGCGCGTCTGGGGGCCACGCCCCCTCCGGCCCGTTGCCTAGGAGACAGGCTGGCGCGGCGGCCTGTGGAGCCCAGGGCCAGGCCTCGGCCTCCGGTTCGGGTTGGAGCCAGGGCCAGTCCGCAGCGGCGGCGGGCGGCGAGAGGCTGTCGGCCAGGGCGCGGAGCTGAGCGGCCAGCAGGCTGAGCTCCCGGCACGGCGGGGCGGCGGCAGGCGGCGGGGCCGTGGAACGGGGCGTGTGGCGGTGCTGCCGGGCCCGCAGGTAGGCCGCCTCCTCCTCCCTGCAGCGGACACGGCAGGGGTGAGAAGCGGCCCGGGGGCACGGCCCCGCGCTGCCCTCCTCCCGCTCGGGCCCTCACCTGAGGCAGCGGGAGGTGCAAGTGATGGAGCGGCCCCCGCCGTCCCGCCGCGCTGACACGTGGAGCCAGGCCCAGGTGCGGTCCCTGCGCAGGACGCGCAGCACGGCGGTGTCTGCTGCTTCGCCGGCCCCGAGCGCTGCGGAGGAGGAACTGCGTTAGCCTGAGCCTGAGCCAGGCACGGCGGCCAGGGGCAGTGCTGCCGGGGACCCCGCGGGTGCGTGGTGGGGACTGCAGTCAGCCGCTGCTGTGGCCCTAACGCCACAGAAGCCACAGGTGGGGGAGCCAGGTCTGTGCTAGTCCTGCTCTCCCTTTTTAGCTGAGGCTCAAGCAGGCTTGTCCCTCCTCTCTGCACTGTGGCAAATCAGGGCGCCTGTGTTCCCAAGCTTGAAAGCTACGTGTGACCTTATAGGCAGTGTATGGGGCATGTGAGTGATTCTCTAGTTCACCATTTTTAGAGGAGGAAGCGACAGCATGCAGGACTAGGTCCCCTCTGTTTCTGTTGTCCTGGACAGCCATGGTTCCGGTGTAGCCACAGGAAAATACACATGTTCCCAGGCCTGACACTCACCCACAGCCCTGTGCTGGGAGGCTGCCAGGTCAGCATCCTCGGGGTGCAGGAGGCTGTACCACGACTGACCCATCAGTTCCTCCCTGTGGTAGCCTAGGTGGTAGATGACACTGGGGAAGACAAGGGGAAGGGGGACTGAGAGCAGGGTCTGCACCGTCTCAGCAAGGAGCAGCTGTGGCAAGATGGGAGGAGAGAGCAAAACAATGGGGCTACAGCGATGCAAAGGGAGGCAAGAGGCTTGGGCAGTATGAGAGAGCCTTGCACCCACAGGGCTGCCAAAGGGAAACGTGGAGCTATGGCTGTGGTGTGAGCAGCCTCACCTCTCCGTGGCATTGGTAAATGTCATGTCGAGGCTGTGTGTGCTCTGGAACAGGTCCTCCTGGGAGCCAGCGTCCGCAGGCAGCTGCCTCACCGGGCTGCAGAGGGCCAGGAAGGCTGTGGCGGAGCGGGAGGGCGGCCAGCGCAGGGCTGTGAAGCGCCCGCGTACCACCACGGCCCGGTTCCCCCCGTGCTGCTGTTGAAAGGCCTTGGAGGTGCGCATCTCACACACGAACGTGACTTCTGCAGGGAAACAAACCGGGCAGGGCTCCCTCGCTGGCCCTGGCAGTCCTGAAGGGCTGGAGCGGGGCAGCAGCATCTGTGAGATGCCAGCCGAGGCCTCCCTTACCCCTGCCTGGCTCCTCCTGGGCAAGGAGGAGCTTCTTGCGCACGTCCTCGTGGCCTTGCTGGTCCAGGATGTCAAAGACCGTGTCCCCATGGGCAAGCAGCTCCACCTGACAACAGAGGGGCTGCGGTGAGCCAGGCAGCCCGCTGGAGCCACAGGCACACGGGAAAGGCACCAGGACAGGTACGTGGGGACAGTGACCACAGTGGGCAGGCCTTACCATGGAGAGGCCCAGGACCTGGGCCACGTTCTCGGAGACGTAGACCAGCTTGCCATTGGCCGAGAGCACCAGCAGGAACCCCGGGAGCAGGGAGAGCAGCTCCGTGCCGAGGGCTGGTCCCGCAGGAGCAGCGCAGTCTGCAGGGGATGGATCACAGGGTGAAGCGCTGCCGTGGTGGGGCAGGAGCAGTGCCCCACGCAGAGCCAAGCTCATGTGGGGTGCGGCGGTGCTGTGGGTACCTGGGGGGAAAAGCTGAGCCCCCCGCAGCTGGAGGCACACCAGGGCCATGGTGTGGAGGTAGGAGAGCCGCTCCTTCTCCCGTGCAGAGATGGGCAGTAGGGAGCGCAGTGCCTGCAGCTCCATGTTGATCTGGTCCCGCCGAGCCTTGGAGGCACTCTTGGTTGACCTGCGAAGCCAACCGTTGGGCAGGGAGAGGGACAGCATTCCCTGGCTGCGGCCATGGGGTGAAATGTGAGCTCAGGGATGTCAATGGAGATGCTCGCTGCCCATGGCAGCTGTTTCTGGGATAGCAAACTCTTGGCGGCTGCTTCGGTGCAATGGGAGCAGCCTGCCCCCCATAGCTATGCAGGGGGACACCGTTGCTGGTGCCCCTCTTGCTGTGGGCCAGGTTAGACAATGACATGTGTTTTGGGGGTGCTTGGGCTCTCCCCAGAGACCTCCCACCAAGGATGGAAACTGCATCCAGTGCCAGAATGCGAGCCCATCACATCTGCCTTCACATCTGGAATCCCTCTGCCCCTCCAAACCCCCACGCTGCCTCCCCATGCACCAGCAGCAACCCTGCTGTCCCAGGCTGGTGCCAGGACACTGCAGAAGCTGGTTTGTGCTCTCCCCAGCTCGGAGACCTCACCTCAGCCCAGTGGGAGGGAGGGAGCTCACCTGAATGGCTTGGAGGCCCTGGGCACCTCCTTGCCCCTCCTGGGCAGGCAGCTCATCTCCGCCTGCAGCGGCCTGTGGCAGTGGCTGCAGAAGATGGTCATGCTGCTGGCACTGGGATGCTGCTCCCTCCTTCGCCTCTGGCTGCGTCTGAACCTGCTGACCCTGCTGCTCCCTGCCGGCCTCCTTTTGTACCCTCCCGCGGTGTGCAGGGTTACCTCTCCTGACGCAACCCAAACAGCCCGGGGCTATTTTTAGAAGGCAGGACGCTAAAAATAGCCCTGGCAGGCGCTGCAATCTGAGAGGGGAAGCAATAAAAGGAAGCCAGGGTCTTTAAAGCAAACCTGGCCTCTCAGGAGGGGGTGCTGATGAAGGTAGCAGGGATCTCCCTGCGGGGCACACATCCGCCCAGCTCCTGCCCCACTGCTCTTGCCAGCGCAGCAGAAGGTCCATGGGAAGCTGAGGGCTTTGTGGCTGGTCCAGCAGCAGCTCTCCAGCACCACTGATGGCTGAGCTGGTGCTGCCACAGGGAGCTGATACAAGGAAACGCACCAGGCACCAGTGAGCAGCATCCACGGCCAAGGTCTGCAGCAGGCTCCTGGCAGAGGGGGGACAGGGCCACAACCCTCCTTGAAGTGATGCCTGGGAGCCTGGTGAGCCCCATCCTTTCTTCACAGAGCAGCCTCCTCCCCACTGAAGGCTGTCACCCCTAGAGGCAGCTGCCATGGGGCGCTGAGCCTGCTGCCTCCATTCAGCGTCCCAGGATTGTGATTCTCCCCAGTGACAGCCATTCACTGACAGAGCCCCTGTGCTCAGTGCCATGCTGCCTGCTCCATGGGTGTTTCCAGTGCCTGGCACCCTACAAGGACAGCAAGCTTGGTGCTTCAGTGCTGAGGAAGGCCAAAAAGCCTCCAGCACTGAGATAAAGCCTGCGGCACAGGTAGCTGGGGAGCTGGTGCATAACGCATGGGAGATGCCCACCCAGCCCTCACAGGTAACCCGTGTGCTGTCAGCACACCCCAGCTCCATTCAGGGCCCCAGCCCTGCCCTTGCTGCTTGTCATCCCCTACGGCAAGGTGCTGCCAGTGCATGAAGAACAAGCTCTTGTCACACTCGTGCTGCGTCTGTTCTCTTGCCATGGGGCTTTCACTGCTCTCGTGCCACCCCAGGCTGCTCCATTGCGCCCGCCCTGGCCCCCTGCCACAGCCTGCAGAGCCCTCTGCCACCCTGTGCTGCTGGAGGAGCAGCTCCTGCCCCTGGCTCCCTGCCACCCTCAGAGCAGGGGACATGGCCTGGGCCCTCTGCCACCGGTTCCTGGCGCACAGCCACCGCCTCCTCGCAGCTGCACGGTGACTTGACAGCCCAGGGAACACCCTGAGCGCTGCCACAGCTCCTTGTCCCTGCAGACACTGCCACGGGAAGGGGCTCAGCACAGCCCTCTGTGCCCACCGCCCTCCCTGGGGCAGGATGCTGGGGGGGACCCAGCTTCCCTCCTGCCCCCCAAGGCTCACAGCAGCTGTGTGGGAAAGCACCCGGTCCCACCTCTCCCCCTTTGCCTGCCAGGATGCACAGAGCAGCAGGAACCAAGTCTGCCTCAGCATTTATAAACCCCCCCTGGTTGCTGTTTCACAAGGGAGCTGGGCAGAGAGTCCAGCTGGGCCCAGGCCCCCACGTCAGGCTCAGCGTGGTGCCAGGGAGCTGGTCAGCACTGGCATGTGCAGGCATGGAGATCCCTGCTCTCTGGAGGCAGCACAGGAACAGTTCACAGCCCCAGGCCAACCCCAGGGCCATGGCTGGTGCTAGGAGTTGATTCAGGCCCTTGGGAAGTGGCCAGGGACCAGGCCAGTGCAGCTGCAGCTCCGTAGGCAAGGTGAAGGAAGGCAGGAGGTGCTGGATCCATCAGCAAAGAGGAGAGTTCACAGTTGTGCTGCTGGGGCAAGCCAATTCCTTCCCCAGTGGCCAGCTCTGCCTGCACACTCATGCTGCCCAAAGGAAGACGAGGGCAGAGGGAGGCCTGGCTGGGGCAAGACGAACCGAGCTCACTGTTTCCTTGATCGAAAGGGCTAAAAACTCATGCAGGCAGTAGAGCAAGAGGTCAGTGTGTGGAGGGGCGAGGGCAGGGCGGTGGAGGGACGAGCCCACATCAGCCCTGGGAGGAGACGATGGGGCGGCTGATGGTGCTGTTTGTCGTCATGGCCGAGAGCTCCCATCTGTAACACAGCGATGGGGTACAGTGAGAGAAAGCATCATCACAGTGCCGAGGGCTGGAGCACCCCCAAGGACAGGGAGCAGCCATGGGGTGCCCTCCCAGCAGGGCACACAGTACCTGATGTCGTGGGGAAGGCAGGACTGGTCCAGGCTGTACTGAATCACTGCTAACTTACACAGTGTCTTGAGGCTGGGGCCTGCAGGGAGAAGGCAGTTAGGCACAGTGGGGTTTGGCTGGACACTTTGGGGTCAGGAATTGTGCAGTCAGGACCACGGGGAACAGGGCAGAGCACCCTGGCCGCCCCTATGAGGGACAAGGCAGGGTGCACACCAGGGGCAGGCTAGAGCAGTCTCCTGTGCTCCCACAACAAGCCATAAGGCCAGCCTTAAGCCATGCACACCAGCTGCTTGCCAACAAGAGGCAGGGGCTTGGAGCCATTGAGGACATGGGATGGTGCTTCCACAGCAGGGCCTGCTCGCAGGGCACCCTGTGGTGAGAGGCACAAGCTGGGCAGGGAGTGCTCACGTACTGAAGTCGAGGATGTAGAGATCCGAGTGATCCATCAGGTCGAATTCATCTCCCATTCCCTCCTCTGGAGATGGGCTGCAGAAGCCAAGAGAAGTGTCAGTGAGTGACAAAACACTTGTCCATCAGTTATGGTCCCTTGGGCCCCCCTCCCTAGGTCCTCACAGAGCCGGGCACAGAGACACACACCATCTCCTCTAAGCCACAGCAGGGAATGGGGGAGCTGCCCCCTTCCCACCAGCAAGCACACTGACTTCAGCTGCAGGCCTGCCCCATCCCTGGTGCTTTGCTGCACCTCCCACCCATAGGAACATGGACCAGGATCTGGCTGGTTTCACACTGCTCCTTCCCCTGGAGTCCCCCAGGCATCACTATGGGCTCCAGGCAGTGCTCCCTGGTTGTACCAAACTGGGGACAGCGTTTCAGGCTGTAACCGAGCATGGGACAGGCACTGATGAGGGCCACAGTCACTTACAGCAATCCCAGTTTGCCATGTTGGTGCTGGTGTGGCAGCAAGGAGCTACGACTCCAGGCATTCCTATGGAACAGACAGCCTCACCTATCACTTCCTGCCTCTGCACCCTTCATGGAACAGCCACAGCACCCCAGAGACTGGGCACCCTTAGCACAGAGACCAGCCTGTGCTGGAGCAGAGGTGCCTGGACCAGCGGAAGCACTCCCATGGCGGGTGGTGTTTGGAGCATTGGGAACAAAGGGAAGGGGTTTTAAGTCCTGCTTTGGTTTGTGACAAGGCAATTTAGTGTGTCCTCACCGCTCAGCTGGGACCTCAGGCAGTGACTTCTCACCCCAGTGTCACTTGCTTCCCCACCTATGACCCACTGAGTTCACATCTGATGGGGGACGAGACAGAACCTGCACCCCCCCTGTTCCTATGACCCCAGCACAAGCTGCAGAGCAGAGCTCACTGCCCACACAGACCTGCTGCTGATGGATCCCATCTGCCCGGATACAGGCAAGAGCCCCTTTAATTCCACCCCTGTGTGCTCCCCATGCCACAATCTAATCTCCCATCCACGTCACAGGAAACCCTAGACCATCCCTTATCTTTCAAAGGGAAGCAGCAGGCACCTCGTTTGTGGTTTTAATCAGCAAGCTGCAAGCAGCTAGGGAAAGCCTGGAGTTCAAGAGCAGCAGACAGCCAGAGCCCAGCAAGCTAGAGCTCTGCATCAAGCCCCTGGATCAGCATCTGTTCACCCAAACTCTGTTTTACAGCATTCCCTCTCTGGCTCGGTCTTCCCTGTGGATGGTCTCTGCATGCTGAAGGGTCTGGGAGGAAACCAGACCACGGGCTGTGACACAGCAGAATGGGAACACTGAGCTTAGTGCTACAAGACTTCCTGGTCACCTAAATGGGACACAAGGACAGGATTTGGGCACAGTGTCAGACCCCAGCTGGGGTAAAGAGCAGGGTCCAGGCAGGACTATCAAAGGGGATGAAGCATTGGGAACGTGCTGCAGAAGTGCCCCTTGGATGCTGTAAGGGAAGGCAGGACACAAAGGGGTTGTGCCGGCCCATCCTCCAGCGCTGACCCTGGTTCACCCTCCAGGAGCCCTCCCAATCCCCATCCCCATCCCCATCCCCCTCCCGGAGCACAGGTCAGGAGCAGACCACAGGGAGTTCTCCATTACTCCCTCTTCCTGGAAAACTTATCTCTCCAGGCAGCTCCAGAACACACCTGATAACTGCCACAGGAAGCCAGCGCTGGCCCCACCGCCATCCCCCCTTCCCTACGGCCTTCCTCCGGTCCAAGCAGGCTGCATTCCTGGCTACCAGCAGCTCTTCCTATCCCACACTAGGGACCACAGACACAGAATCAGCAAGGTTGGAAAAGACCTTTTAGCTCATCCAGTCCAACCGTTCCCCAGCGCTGCCAAGGTCACCACTGACCCATGGCACTGAGGGCCTCATCTACACAGTATGTGAATGCTTCCAGGGACGGTGACTCCAGCACTGCCCTGTGCAGCCTGTTCCAATGCCTGACTGCCCTTTGGGGAAGGAATTGTTCCCAATATCCAGCCTAAACCTCCCCTGGTGCAGCTTGAGGCTGTTTCCTCTTGTCCCATCCCTTGTTCCTTGGGAGCAGAGCCCAGCCCCCTCCTGGCTCCATCCTCCTTTCAGGCAGTTGTAGAGAGCAATAAGGTCCCCCCTGAGCCTTCTCTTCTCCAGACTGAACCCCCCAGGTCCCTCAGCCATTCCCCATCACACTTGTGCTCCAGGCCCTTCACCAGCTCCGTTGCCCTTCTCTGGACCTAGGGATGAACTGGCCCACATTTAGGTTGAGGCTGGATTAACGAACAGGTTGAATCCTGAAGTTGTTCAGTGCAGAAAACAAGCACTCCCTGGCAGAAGTGAACCAAAGTCCAAAAAGCTGATGTCAAATTTGTTGTGCTTTGCTAATATTTCATTGGTGTGCCTAGGTTTGACACCAGCGGTTGTAACAAACCCACACTGCAGGACCCGGGAGCATCTGAAACCACCATGAAGCCCTTCCAACCCTTCTAGCAGCACCCAGCATCTCCCGAGGAGGCTGGGCTAACTCAGCACCTCTGCACACCCCACCTGCACTAGCACTGCCTCACACACATATGGACATCCTACAGCCAAACACACCCCCCAGCTCCCCTGGGGCACGAAGGCCCTTCACTGTCACACAAGGGTCAGCCCATCAGCAGAACCTGCCCTCCCTTGTTCTCTGCCCAAACCTGTCTCTAGAAGTACCGCTCAAAAGCCACTTCCAGGATCCCAAAGAAAGCCCCAAAGATGCTGGGAAACAGGCCTGTGCTCCAGAGCTGCAGTTTGTCCTTACAGATAGCACAGAGCATGTCCTGGTGATGGGCCACTTCCTTTCTTTTAGCAGCTGTTGGCCAAATTCAGCTGTCCTGCACCCTGACAGTGTCGCTTTCAGTGCTTGACAGCTAAATCCCCAACATCAGGTCCCTATTGTGAATGGAAACTTTGCTAAGGAACCCTGGCCCAGAAGGGAACATTGCCTTGTTGTGTGCTGAGCTCCTCAAACAGCTCCCAGCTGAGCTGACATCCCATTGCAGCCTGGCAGACACCACACTCCCCAGTGAAAGAAACAGCAGTGGGAGATGCAGGGCAGCATATAGGGGAGGATAAATCAGTCTGAGGTCTGCTATAGCAAGGCAGGTTAAGATACTGGTCCTTCTGATGACAGGATCTTCTCCTTCCTCCCCATCACCTCTTTCACAGGAAGCTTGACCACTGCACATCCCCTCCTGAGCAGGATGTTACACACTTTGGCCTCTGCTTGTACAAGAAGGCTTGTCACCAGGAGAGTCACAAGCTTTCATCTCCCCCTTGGCCTCTTCCAGAGCAGTCCTGACCTACGTGGTTTCTTACACTGCCAGGGAAAATGGGAATATATCCATTTATCCAATATATCCGGGGCAGAGCATAGAGGCACATTGTGCTGCAGGGGATGGCAAACCCTTCCAGAGAGCCACACAACTCACCTGGTGCCTCCAAAGAGAATGATTTTGTCCCCCACTCTGCAGCAGCACTGCCGGCGCCGAGGACATGGGCCTTTCCCCTTGGGCTCAATCTTCCTCCAAGAAAGAGAAACTAAGGGGCAGAAAAGAATGCAGCAGCTTGTCATGACAGCCTGGCCGACACTGGGAAGAAGCAGGTCATGGGTTTAAACAAAACTGGAGGCCCGCTGCCCCACAGACACCGACTAGCCAACATGTGCCCAGAACCTAACACAGGATTTGAGATGCAGCCTCACCAGTGCCCAGCGCAGGGGGATGATCACTGCCCTGGCCCTGCTGCCACACTATGGCTGATACAGGATAGGATGCTGGTGGCCTTCTCTGCTTCTAAGGCAGAGGTTTCCTCTTGCAAAGCCTGGACACCAGGCGCCGAGGGCTGCCCCAGCAGCAGGCTGGCCATCACAGGGAGCGGGACAAAGCAGAGCTCCAGGGGCGGGCAGGCTCCATCCCCAGCACCCTGCTGCGGTCCAGGTCTGGAGGGAGACCCAGGAACCAGCTCCATCTGGCGGCAGGCACTGAGCGCAGAGCATCACCGCAGAGGGGAGGTTGCTGGGACAGCTTGGTTGTGGGAGGGGAGCAGGGGGAACTGAACCAGGGGGGGAAGAAGACGGCAGCCTTTGTCCTTGCTGCTCTCTGTGCAAGGATGCAGCGGGTGATTAATCGCTAACGCACAGCCCTGAAAGCTCCAGGAGCTCTCACACCCAAGCTCATAGATCAGCTTGGGGAGCAGCAAGCTGGCTGCTCTGAGGTGACTTCACAGTGCAAAGCAATCAGCAAACAAGATCAGTCTATTGGAGTGCAGAAAGAGCCCGAGGGATCTAAAACAACCCCCAGGTGACTCAGGTACCAGCTGAAGAGCTACCCCTTCTGCTGCACAGCTCGACAGGGTACCAGGGGAGTGTGGTATGGTGATCCTGCAGCTCAAGAGGAGTGTTTTCCCCAGCTACCATCTCCTGCTCCCCTAACCCCACTGCTTCCCCTTATCTTACTTTCTGTCAGTGCTTCTGTGTATTTAAGACCAGGGTTTTGCCAACCACCCTTCGATCAGCTGTGTCGTTCAGCAATACTTCCTTCTGCACTTCTTAACTAGGATTTGGAGACAGTCTGAGGAAGAGGTCCCAAACATGGCAGCAAGTTCCTGTCAATGCTGCTGAAGAAAAGCCATTTCATTGAACAGAATCTAGATTCAGATGGAAAAGACCTTTAAGACCAACAGGTCCAGTACAGGGGGATGATCACTGCCCTGGCCCTGCTGCCACACTGGTGCTGATACAGGCCAGGATGCTGTTGGCCTTCTTGGCTGCCTGGGCACAAGCTGCTCATGTTCAGCTCCATCAATCAGCACCCCCAGGTCCTTTTCCACTGAGCAGCTTTCCAGCCACTCTTTCCCAAGCCTGAAGTGCTGCATGGGGTTGGTTGGTGCGGCCCAAGGGCAGGACCCAGCACTTTGCCTTGTTGAACCTCACACCACTGGCCACAGCCCATGGATCCAGCCTGTGCAGATCCCTCTGCAGAGCCTTCCTACCCTCCAGCAGATCGATGCTCGCCCCCAACTTGGTGTCATCTGCAAATGTACCGAGGGTGCCCTTGAGCCCCTCACCCAGATCATCAGTGAGGAGATTAAACACTGGCCCTAACACCAAGCCCTGAGGGACACCACTACTGACCGGTCACCGAACAGATGTGATGCCATTTACCACTACTCTTTGTGCTTGGCCATCCAGTCAGTTTCCAACCCACTGAAGAGCACACCACACCTATCCAGGCCATGAGCAGCCAGTGTCTCTAGGAGACCAGTGGGAGACAGTGTCAAATACTTTACCTAAGCCCAAACAGACAATGTGCACAGCCATTCCCTCATAACCAGGCGGGTCATCTTATCACAGGAGATCAGGTTGGTCAAGCAGGACCTGCCCTTCATGAACCCATGCTGAGTGGGCACGTAAAGGCAGCATTAAGTACCTCAGCCTCTTCCTCATCCTCAGTCAGTAGGTTTCCCCTCGTATCCAGCAGAGGATGGAGATTCTCCTTGGTCTTCCTTTTATTGCCAATACACTTGTAAAAGTACTTTTATTACCTTTTGTGGCCAGATTTAGTTCCAGCTGTGCCTTCACCTTTCTAACTTCCCTTCTCCATAACCTAACACGGGGTGTCTGCCCCTTCTTCCACAGCTGATACATTCTCTTCTCCTGAGTTCAAGCAGTATCTCCCTGGAGATATCTCCCCCCAGGTATGCTCCCAGCCCTTGGAGAGTATGCTCCTCTGAGCACTCACACACTGAAGAGCCCTGAGCAACAAGTTGAAAGCCTTAAATACCTGGATTGAATTTCCAAAGGTCGTGGAAGTGTCTGTTCAGGCGTGCGTTGTAGCCACCAAATACATATAGCTCCCCATTGTAGCTGACTGTGGGGAGTAAGCACAGATATCAGTGTGCCACCCAAGGCAGAGCCCAGCAGGTCCCCATCCCAGCATCAAACACAATGCAAAATGGCCCTGGCTACCCACCCTCATTACATCACTTCACGTGCAGGGCTGCGTGCAAGACTCTTTGGTGAGCAGCAGCTCTCCCACTGAAGCCAGGCTCTGTGGACCCCTTGCTAACCCCCATCTCCACCCAGCACCCAGACTCCGAGGCAGGCAGGAATCTCTTTCCACTGCCCTTGTCTCTCAGCAGGTCCCCACTCACATGCTGAATGGCTCCGCCGGCCTTCAGGAAGCACTGGAGTCGAAGGGGAGTCCAGCCAGGAGTTTGTTTCTGTATCAAACACTTGAATGCGGTTACAGTAGATCTCATTGTTGGAGTGAAAAGGCCCAAACCGATCAGCTCTGCCCCCAAACACGTACATCTTTGTTCCAATGATGGTCGCTGAATGAAAGTCTCTCCAGCGGGCCGGCGTGCCCTGCAGGGACAGCACAACAGGGAGGATGCAGATTACCCATGCTGATGAGGAGCTGGGGTGGCTGCCTTCTCCTCTCCTGGAGAACGTCCCCTCTTGTACATCCCATCCACAGCGGACAGAAGCTGTGAGGTCACTGTGAGGCAGCAACCCCAGGGAACAACAGGTACAAGACCCCCTTCTGCAAACCAGTGTGAAAAGCAGACACTGACCTTGGCAGAGATTAAGGTCCACATCATGTTTGTGGTGTCCAATTTGTGGATATCGTTTGAAAAGCAGTCGGCCTGGAAGACAGCAAGACACAAAGGGGTCACAAAGGGACTGGGAAGCATGGAAGGAAGCTGTCCTACAGACCTGGAGCACCCCTTCAGAGTCAGTACTTCCTAAAAGACACAGTGCTTGCTCCAAGATGTCAGGGCAGGCAGCACATTTACCACTTAACAAGAGGGAGCAAAGCCTATTTCTCCTCAAAGATGTCCTGTTTCTCCCTGCAGCTTTCCCATGTATTTGGTGCTCAGTTCCTTCCCCCAAAGGAACTGTATGTACTGTATGTAGCACAAAGCAAACACATTAACAGCAGAAACTGGCCCCCATCCCATGCAGCAGAAAGGGGCACTAATGGGACAGTCAAACTGGCTTTGTTAAGCCCGCCTGATGAGAGCTAGAAGCTAAGATCACTTCTAGGAAGCGAAACATCCAGCAGCAAATACACTCATGGTTCTAAGGATCCCACAAAACTTGGGATCCAAACTGCCTGGAAAAGCCTGCATTTAGACAAAGAGCAGACTCCAGGCAGGAGAGATGGCAGGGAGACAGCGACAGCCTTGTTTGGGACTGGTTAAAAACAAGCCCCATTTGAACTGCTCCCGCTGCTGTAATCAAGATCATGGATTTGGCAAGCTGTTGCCCTCAGAAGAAAGGGAATCACGCTGGGGCTGCCATAACAGAGCTCCAGCTTTCTGCCATAATAAACAGATGTGACGTTGCCCACCTTTCCTGGAGCCTGGTGATAGACTGAAGTGATATTTACCCACTTCTTAAGATCAGAACCAAAGGATTTGCTCAAAGGAGCATCAGGCACACTGACAGACAGTGCAGGATGATCTCCAGCTCAAGGTATTCCTAACGGGACAGCAAGAGCTTGCTGGAGGGGATGAGCAGGTACAGAACACAAGGAACATGTACCAGATTAGGACAAAACCTCACAGCAACACTGCAGAGACTGGAAAGTGATTTTTTCTGGGTCGTTTCTCAGCCAAATTAAGGGAAATGTATTTTTTAAAGATGTTATATATTTTGCTACCTAAATTTGGCTGAGAAGTGAGCCAGGAAAAAATTGAGAGAAAACCCAACTATTTTTACCTATCTGTACGGTTTGGGGAAGGAAAAAGCCCACCATTTCTTTTTACACCTACTTCCCCAAGCATCTTCTCCACAGAACAAGCAGCATAACCTGGGTAATTAACACTGCAACCTGCCTGAGCTATAAAAGGAAAGCAACTATGGGTACAAATGTGCCCCTGTAGCTTGCCTGGGTACCCCTCTTTCCCAAGGGATTGCCAAGTGACAGTTTCCAAGAGGACTCACCAGCTGCTCATAACCTCCGAAGATGAACATGCTCTTTGCCAGGACACAAGCGGAGTGCCCATCCCTTGCTCCCGGGACCATTCCAGACACCTTTGGAGTGAACCACTTGTGCGTGTCTGAAACACAGCAGGAAGCAACGCTGAGCAAACACAGGAGGTGTTGGGATGGGACAGCTCTTTACTGCTGTTCTTCATGGTTTGGGCAGAAACCCCTCTCTCACACACAGCATCTGCTCCTCTGGTGAGGCTGCAGGCTCCTTCAGGCAGAAGGACACGGTGGCAGAGGTCTCAGCTCCTGGCTCTGCCTGACCTGACAAGCAGCTCGCAGTTGAAGCGTGAGTAGCACAGCACTGCTTGAGCAATTCTGTTCTTATTGTGCCTCTTGCAAAGCCTACTTGTGTGTGAGTCACTTACCAACTGCATTTGCAGGTTCAATTACAACGAAGCAATGACGTGGCAAAGCTGACCTCACGCTGACTGACAGTGGAAAACCAGCCCTTAAAGCCAGGCAGAAGCCACTTAACCACAAGCTCACCATGTCAAGAGAGCTAGCGTGCACCTCTGCAGTGCAGCTCTCCCTATCTTATCTGCTCCTCTTGCTACATTCTCATCCCCTCCTCACTCTCCACCCTTCACACTGCTCCATGGGAGCCTGCACCAGCCACATTCAGCTCCAGGGCTTGGCTTGATTTAGGGGAGGACTTTAACTCTAGCCAGAGCTGTTCTCCATGCCAGGGCAGCGGGGAGCCAAGCCTCACTCCCTGCCAAGCACAGGCACCTGTCCCCAGAGCCCAGAGAGGCACAGATAAGCCCCCAGGCAGCTAACTGCTGCGAGCTGCCAAGAGCAGTGCTTATTTCAAGATGTGGTAACTCCGGAGCCAAAGCAGCATTCTTCACAGGGATAACTTGTGTGAACTTGGCCCATGGCCACAGCTATGCACCTAGGCTCCAGCTGGAACCACACAACGGGTCTCACAAGGTCAACACAATCCCTGGACAGCCTCTAGTAAGAAAGCTGCCGTGGCTATCAAGTTCCTTACCTTCATGGGCTGCTTCCAAGCCCAGTCACATGGTATCAGCAAGGGTTCACCCAAGCACAACATGTCAAATTAGAGATGGTGAAGACCTTGACTCGTGATCTGCTCAATGCCCCAGGGGATACAACTGCGTTTAACCAGGGCTTTAACCAGCCTGATGGCACCCCTGCAGTGGAACTTGCCCCACAGACATGGGGCTGCAGCTGCCAGCCTCACTTTCCAGGGCTGGTAGGGGACAGGCACATTGTGTGCAGGCAGCTGCAGAGGGCTCGGACAGGACTCAAGTCTGGCCTGTTGTTAACTGTCACTTAATGCTAAAGCACTGGAGCTGGCAGGGGGAGCAGACAGCTCCCAGTATAAGGCTTCTGTGTAGATAGAGGCTCACTGGTGGCTTCCCAGTTGCATGTGTCAGGGGAAGGGAGAAACCCTGTGCCCAGGGAGCAGCTCCAAGCTGTGAGACATCTCCTAGCAATGAAGGAACCCATGACCAAGCAGCAGAGCAAGCAGTTCCCTTGCAAGTCCAGCAAGGCAGCTGGTGGTCAGTATTTAGATGGACTTGCCTCCAGAATCCAGATGTACTCCCTTCCTTTCCCAACACTCATGTGCACCCAGCTCCTGATGGTGCGTGTTCTCCCCAGGCTCTCCAGCACCACGATGGAGAAGCCAACCAAGAAGAGTTTATTTTCCAGGCTTATCTAACTTGACTCACACCTTCCCTCATTTTTCCATCCTGGCCCTGAACACTTCTCTGTCTTATTCCTCACCCTCCCTCATGCTTTCAGAAAGAAGGAGCACCCTGGAGAGGAAGCACAATCCTTGAGAGCTCTAGCCCCTTCCTGCTGCGACCTTCAGCCATGGTTAAGGAACAGCACATCACACAGAGCAAACACTTCAGCTGCAGTTACTATCAGAGCGAGCGCACGAAGCTGATTGAAAAGTTAAACCCAGTTTGATTACTGGACAAGCTCAGCAGTCTCTGTTCAAAGGGTTTTACAGAGAGCCAAGTGTGCAGAAACCCAAGTCTGTGAGCAGTGTGGTGGGGCAGAGAGGCCTCAGCAAGAGCAGCTGCAGCACGGGAGAGCGAGAAGCTGGAACTTACTGACATCAAAGGCATAGAGCACGTTGCAGGCTCCCTCGGTGTCGTTGCGACCACCCCATATGTAGACGGTGTCATCTATGAGCACTGCTGAGTGCCCATACCTCATGTAGGGCACCTCCCTCACTTGATCTCGGCTGTTTGTCCACACTGGAGGCAGCTTGATCCAACGCAGAGACACTGGAAGCACAAGTTTGAGCCCACGTCAAATGCGGAGCCCACTGCAGGTGCTCCCAGGTCATGACCACCCCGTCACACATGAGACTAGAGGAAACATTGGAGGACCCAAGGACTAGGGACAGAAACAGGCTCAGGACAGGACTTCAGGCTCGTGAAGAGACTCAAAGCTGGAAGAATGGGCAGCACAGGAATAACTCCCTAGGAACAGGAGGGAACACGTCTGAAGGCATCCTTTAGACTTGAAGTGGTACAGTTTAACTAAAACAACCCAGCAGCTTTGTAGGAAGAGGGTTTATTTGCTTTTGCTTTGGTTTTAAGCTCCAAAGGAGGCAGCTGCCTATCTCCTTTACCCCCATTCATATTGGAGTTTTCCCTGCTAACCTTGTGTTACTAAAAGGAGCTCCTTGTGATTACAGGTTGTGCTTCCTGGCAGCCTGCGTGTCACGTTCAGCATTAGCCAGAGCAATTACCAGGTATTACAGGGTTTAATGACAGGGCAAGAGTCACAGCAAGTGTTACATGGCAAATACACCCTGCCTTTACCACGCATACAGCCTCCAGTTTTGTTTTCAACGCTGACACAATGCAAACCATAGAAGAAAACAGTCTGCAGTTCACCTGAAATGCTGTCACAGGGAGAGAGAAAGGGTCAGGCATCTTAAAAGGAGCTTAACCTGAAGACTTAACTGAGTGTTCTGCCTCCCACCCCTTCCACACTAGGGTCATGCTGCAAACTGGATGGGGACCTGAACCATCTAAACATCACCTCTTTGCACCTACTTGAGTTAGCATACACAGAGAACAAGCGCAAAACAAGCCATGGACTATGTGGTTACTCTAGTGAGCCCTTATCCTATCAGGGTGTCCTTGCCATAGAATCATAGAATAGTCAGGGTTGGAAAGGACCTTAAGATCATCAAGTTCCAACCCCCCTGCTATGGGCAGGGACACCCTGCACTAAATCATTGCTGAACTACAGCCCTCTGTGTCCTGCTTCTGAGGCTGCAAACACAGGGCTGCAGGAGGGAAGAGGCTCCCATCTACGCTAATACCTTCTGTGGCAATCAGAGCCAGGCAGGCTGTTACAGAGTGAAACACGTTAAGGAGCCAGCCAGCCGCGTACCTCCGCGTACCGCAGCGATGCACGCTTACCTGCGTTAAAGACATGGACATCAATCTGCCGCAGGGTCTCATAGTCTTCTCCAGAGCAGTACCCACCGAAGGAGTAGACCTTGTGCCCGACGGCCACGGCAGCGTGGTTCACCCTCCGCGGCCCGCCTTCCAAGTGCACTGCCCACCGTAGCATTCCTCCCCGCGAGCCAGGCGGTCTTCAGGGCCCCCAGTGCCACAGCCGCATGCTTCCTCGGCCAGCGCGCTGCCACCTGGCTCTGTAACACAGGCAGGACGCTAAAATAACACGAGCCATCTTGCAGGTCTGCCTTGAATGACAGCTACAAAGGTCACAGCACTGTATTCTCGCTGGGGATGGTTTTACTGTCCCCTTGGGAAGCAGGTACTGTAACTGAGCAAGCAGAGATGCCCTCACATACAAACCCCCCTCAGGGTGCTGGACAGGAGACCCAAGGCAAGCACCTTTGTGAAGGCAGCGGTGCTGTGTGCCTGGCTGTGCCCTGGTCATGTACACACACCATGGGCACGCCAGAACAACTTGTCCACGTGAATGAAAACACACCGTGAGAGCCAATCCTGAAGGTGAAAAGAACAGAGCCACAGGGAAGCGAGCATGCTCTTGGGATCAGTGGTGAGGAACGGCAGAGGAAAGCGTTACAAACCAAAACAACACTCAACAAAAGAAACCCAAAGAGCGACCCCCACATAAAGCAACTGCCTCCCTGATACAGGGGTGGGCGACAGCACCCCTCTTCTCAGCATCACAGAATCAACCAGGTTGGAAAAGACCTTCAAGCTCATCCAGTCCAACAGTGCCCCAGCACTGCCAAGGCCACCACTAACCCATGGCACTGAGGGCCTCATCTACACGGTTTGTGAACGCTTCCAGGGATGGTGACTCCAGCACTGCCCTGGGCAGCCTGTTCCAATGCCTTAAATCACTATAGTATGTTTAAAGGCAGGCAGCAGCTCTTGTACAAGTCCTCCGCAAAGCTACAGAAGAGAAGGGATGAGTTTCCATGGAGACCACCAAAGTCACCTCTCGGACTCTGTTGAAGACTTCACATATCTAAATGTGTTTCCTGCCTAGTCATGGGTTACCACTGCAAATCTAACCAGTGTTTCCCTCTAAATCACTTCTTGCTTAAGTGATTCTGTGAAAGCCCCAAGGAGCTCAGCTGGACTTTACCACCAGCATCAACAGTTTCAACACCCTTCAGGCTGAACCTGATCCTGGAAGATCAAGAGGATTAATCTTGCTTCCAAGTTCTCCACTTGGTTCCTTCTGGGGTAGAGAAGCACAGCAGCCTGGCATGGCAGGCAGGCTTGGTGCCAAGCCTTTTTGGCCACGAAGGCTGGGAAGGCTCTTCTTCACACTTGGGAGTTCACTCGATCCATGTGCTGCCGGAGCAGGACACCAGTCCTTCCACCAAACAGGAGCCTGCACAGCTTCACAATTACAATGAGTCACAGGGACACAGGAAACAAAGGCTACACATCCTAAGAAATGAATCCAGTCACTGACAGGCAGGAGCCCAAGGGCCAGCCGGTTACAACACTGTAGGAAAGGATGCTGATGCTGTAGCAAGTGCCCTGCTGTCCTTCCCTACATCAGTTACTGGGACAGGTTTTCTCAGAGATACCCACTCCCTGGGGCAGTGGTGGGGGTGATGGGGTTGAAGTTGGCCACGCTTTGCCTTAGCTTGGGATGGGGATACCCCTTCAGAGCAAACACATCAGGAAGCTTTGCCAGCACAGACCCAGGGCATGCAGGAATGCTGTTTTCTTTTCATGAAAGGAATGAATCAGAAGCATGAAGTAATCCTTACAGGATCATATATTAAAAGGTAAAGGGAGACACAGGATTTAGCAACCTACCAGGGTTCTTCCAAACTTGACTGCAGTAAAAACATCCGTCTTCCTCTTCTGCCACTGGCCACAACCCCAAAACCACCCCAATGTCTTCCCGCCTTTGCCAAGCACTTGCTCTCCCCTTTTCAGCCGCACACAGGGTCAGCCCCATCTCCTGAGGACTCCCCACTCCCCCATCCAGCTCCAGGCTCTCTCCTCTCCTGCCTTCTTTGGAAATCCTTTCACAGGGCGAGTCTCCTGTCCCAAAGCCAATTTTCCTGCTGCCATTCCTCCCTCTGCACTATCTGCAAACATGAGTCTAACACAGTTCTTTTCTGTCCTACAACTAGGCACACTATTCCATTTCATTATCACCCAATGATAATTCATATGACATAGATGAGGACATAAACACACCACCTTCCAACCTCATTCCGACGAGGCATGAATGCATTTGGCATTAGGCAGGATGCCTTGGGTTTCTTTAAAGATTACACAGGGCACAGCCTGGGGGGGAAAGGGGAGCAGGAAAATCCCCATGAAACATTTACTAACCGTCTCCCCCAACTGTTATGTGAAATACACTCTGGGATTTCTCATTTAGGACACCAGCAGCAGGGCGGTAGGCTAGAAACCATAGAAATATTGATTAGATGGAGGCAGACTGTGCCAGAGAACCGGAGGGTACTGGCTGCAGGAGGTGCTGCACGCCCCAGTTCAGGCAAACCAGGTGCTTTTTCATGTGTGCTGCAAAAAGAAGCTTGAATCGTTCAGACCTCAGAGGCTATTGGCACTAGGAGCTATTGCCTTCTGCATCTATGCCGACACGGAGCTCAGCGTGGGTCCCTTTGGTGGACCCTGCTGAGCCACCCTTCTCCTCCCCAGAGCTGCTCCACCTAAACAAGCACCAGCTCCTCGTTCAGCCCATTGCTGACACTGTCCATCCAGAGCTACAGTCAAGCACAGAGAATGCAGAGGAACTTGGGTTGAAAGCTTGGGTAGCTCCTGTCATTAACCGCCACGAACAGGAGTGTTTCCCAAAGCCAGGTGACACTTCACCTACTGCTGAAGTACCTGATGCTGCTGCTGTTGGCAATTAAGTGACCACAGCAACGAGTTGTTCCTGTGCCACCGAGCACAGGGAAGCTAAAATTAAGAAGTGCTCAAAATAACCTGCTGTGGTCACCACCTGAAGCCCTCAATGGCCGGGCACAGCAACACAGGGGACGTGCTTCCAGAGTACGTGGTGCAACAACTGCCACGGGCTGACTGCAGAGCAGCTCTGGAGCTGTGTCAGGCGTGCTGTCACGAGTGGAAGCTCACAGGGATGTTTGTAGAGAAGTATCTCTGGACATCCTTCAGCAATGCCCTTGCTCTCTGTCACCAGAAGCACCCAGCAAAGGGACCTGGGGCTTTTCAGCTCCGTGGTCTTCAAATACAGCACCTACAGACAACAGGTCCGACTCTCTGCCTGTGCTGCTGTCTGAAATGCACATAATGCTTGAAATAATCATCATCCATATGCTCCAGTGTACACCTCAGAGCACCAGAAAATCACTCAGTTTCTCACTAGCAAACCTTCCAAAGCTGTTACAGTGACACCCTCTCCTCTTCCCCTCCCCTGCAGCACTCAAGATCACAGAATCCCAGACTGGTTTGGGTTGGAAAGGGCCTTAAAGCTCAGCCAGTTCCAACCCCTGCCATGGGCAGGGACACCTTCCACTAGAGCAGGTTGCTCCAAGCCCCTGTGTCCAACCTGGCCTTGAACACTGCCAGGGATGGGGCAGCCACAGCTTCTCTGGGCACCCTGTGCCAGGGCCTCAGCACCCTCACAGGGAAGAATTTCTCCCTAATGTCTCACCTCAATCTCCCCTCTGTCAGGTTAAAGCCATTCCCCCTTGCCCTGTCCCTGAAGGCCCTTGTCAAAAGCCCCTCTCCACCTTTCTTGTTGGCCCTTTTAGATATTGGAAGGCTGTTATCAGCTCTCCCCAGAGCCTCCTCTTCTCCAACCACGAAACCATTCCATTCGAGATAGAAAGCCACTGACCATCTCCAAGTACAGCAGCCAGCTTACAATCTTACAGCAAAAACATACACCCTTAGCTCCACTCCTTCGCACAGAGTCCACTTTGCTTCTTTGCACACACACACACCCCGAAACCTAGAGCCATTCCTGAAAGCTGCTCACATCAGCTTTGCTGCAGCCCATTCCCAAAGCAAGGAGAGAAACCCAGCGGAAAGTGGCCTGGATTTCCTGTCACCCCCAAAATTACACCACCACCCCCAAGCAGAGCAGCCTGCTGCCCCTGCAGAGCTGCTCCGGAGAGCAAATCCTACCGTGTGGCTGCCTCGGTCCCGTCTCCCCGAAGATGCCAGCCACACGGGTTAGTAACACCTAAAATAGCCCAGCCAGCTCGCAGCAGCCCATGCACACCGTTCTATTTCAAGCACATCCAACTTACTGTCAGAGATAGCACAAGAACAAGCCGCTTTCTTCACTCGTGCTTGACATTTATCTGATGCTTTGACTATTTATGCTAAGGCCGTGTGAAACTGCAAGCTTGCACATTCAGCGCCTCGGATGCTCGCAGTTCCAGCGCCAGCGAACCAGACGGTGCTAGAACAGCCCCTGGGCTTCACTCGGACCGATGGGGAAGCTCACGTCTGACATGGGAATCACGGAGCACGCATCCCTCCGTGCCCACCGCAGCTCCACCTGCTCGTTATTGCCCAGATACCTCGCTCACCGCTGACTGCCTTCAGCCCAAAGCCCAGCTCAGAGCCTGCCCCTACTGAGCTGGCTTCTCCCTTTGCTCCCTTCGCCTCCCCAGCCCCACTGCTGCTTCCCCACGGAGCGCACCTGAGCGTCGGAGACATTCCCCGACCCCCTCCCCTCCGCCTGGAACGGATCTCGGCCTCTGGCCGCTGCCGAGCTGCCTGTGCCGTGCCAAGGGCAGCCGTGGCGCGGGTGAGCCGCTACCGTGGCCGGTTGTGCCTCGCACGCAGCCCCGTGTCCCCTTTCTCTGTCACACCGGACCCTCCGTGCAGCGCCCGCCGTGCAGGACCGGGGTACACGGCCCCAACCCAGCCCGACCCGCGCTGAAACTGACCAAGCCGGCGGGGATGGAGAGCGAAGGCCCGGCGGGGGGTGCAGGAGGGCAGCGCCCTCCAGCCGCTCTACGAGGCCGACCCCGAACCCCTCGGGGCCGCCCCGCGCCTCCAGCCGCCGTCTGAAGGCCTCATAGCGGGGCTCAGCGGTAGCTCCAACCCCGGCACAGCCCCGGCACAGCCCCGGCAGCTCCCGCTCCCTTCAGCCCCGTACCTGGCTGCGGGAAGGCGGCCCGGTCCGGCCGGGCAGCCCCGCTCCAACAGCCGCTGCCCGCCGCTCCCTGGGACTCGTAGTCCGGCGCCGCCCGGCTCGGCTCGGCCCGGCCCCTCGGAACCTGCGGGGCCCGGCTTGGCGGCGGAGGGCGGCAGCAGAGGGCCCTCCCGGCCCGGGACTACGGCACCCACAGGGCCCCGCGGCGACGCTTCCGGGCGGCGGCGGCGGGAGGGGCGGGGGCTTCCCCCGGTGCATGGCGGGGTCGCGGAGTATGGGACCGGAGCGGGTGTGTCCCGAGGAGCCGGGGCCGCCGGAGGCCCCTGACGGCGCGGCGGGATGGAGCGGAGACGAGGAAGAAGAGGAGGAGGAGGAGGAGGAGGAAGGAGGCGGCGGGTACTTGTACCAGCCGCTGAGCCAGGAGCCGGAGCAGGGCCCTGCCGACGGGCCTCCCCCCGCCGCTGAGGCGGGCCCCGGCCTGCAGGAGCGGCTGCAGGTACCGACCAGCGCCGGGCCGGGGCTGAGGGGAGCCGGCGGCGGCGGAGCGCGGGGCTGACCCCCGTGCCCGCCTCCCGCTGCAGATGCTGAGGCTGCACCTGCCCGACCCGCCGGCGGACAGCGAGGACGAGGAGGAAGAGGAGGCGGCGGCGGCGGCGGAAGGCGGCGGGGCTCAGAGCAGCCGCACCTCCATCCCCATGGACGCAGGTAACGGCGGCTGCGGCCGCGCCCTCCCGGTGCCCTGCCGCGGGCTCACGGCCTCTCTGTTCCAGAGCACGTGGAGCTGGTGAAGAGGACGATGGCCGGCGTGAAGCTGCCGAGCCTGGGCATCCCGCCCTGGGCCAGCCAGATCTCGGAGGACCAGTGGAAGGACGTGGTGCGGCGCACGCTGCAGGCCCGGCACGGCCTCGGCGCGCCCAGGCCCGAGTGGAAGTGATGGGCAGGCTGCGGCACAGGGGCTGCCAACCCCGGCCCTCCCTCTGCCATGCAGCACCCGCTGCCCTGGAGCGGGGCATCGACAGGACAGGCCAGCATCCACCTCCCAGGATGTCCCGCTTCCCTTCCTGCTTGTCCTTCCTGGTTCTGGCTGGCACATAAGTTGCTGTGATGTCCTTGTGTTGGTTTCCTCTGCCTCCGAGGAGCTTGGCCGTGGGTTTCTGTACCTTTGAGTGTGTGTGTGAGGAGGGAGGGGGCTTGGCTGGCTTTGCCCAGGCTTCCTTGGGACAAACACTGGATTTGGAAATCCCTCTCCACGCTTAAAGCCTGTCCCCCCAGGCTGGGGGCTGTGTGTTGGAATAGCAGAGGTGGAGTCCAATGTTGTCTTTCCAAGAGATCGGTTTTATTTAGTTCTGTACATACAGGGACATCTGTACAAAATCCAACACTTTCATACTATGTAATGCTCTACTGAAAATAAAGTACACCATATGTACATATGAACTGTAAGCAGCTTAATACTTGTGTCCGGGGGGTGGATGCAGTAGTTAGTTTTGCTTGTTCCCTTGGGAGGAGGGCGCCAGGTGAAGTGGAAGAGGCAGCTCCAGTTCTGTCCATTTGACTGACGTGGGGAGAGGCAGAGATGAGCAGCACTAATGCTAGAACCCAAAGGTTGAGCACGGGGCAGCCGCAGCGTGGCAGACACAGGTCTGCGCAGAGCAGTACACGTGGTGGGGAGGGCGAACACGTTCCCCCCTTTCTCACATGGTCCCCTTCTTAGGTGTCCAGGACACTGGAATGAATAGGCAGGAAACTAATGGTGATAAGCAGAAGTTCCCTGACCCAGAACAAGACACACAAAGCTATGAGAACATCGAAGCTGTACAGCATGTAGCCGGGACGTGTTCCTGGCCTGCCACGGCCCATTCCTCTGGCCACAGGTCAGGGGCTGGCGGCAGAGACACACCATCAGTAGGGCAGCGACAGCCTCTGTGCACTGCAACTCTGCTCCTTCTGCAGGCAGGGAAGAGCAGCTGCTGCCTGGGCTCCACGGAAAAGGAGGTGGTGGTGGCTTGTAACGCAAGGCAAAGCACACAGATCGGGAAAGCCTGTACTGCACCGGGGGGAAACCTGCCCAGCCCGAGCCCTGCTGCAGGGGGCACTGAGCAGTCCCCTGTCCCTGCGGTGCCCTGCCGCTCCTGTGCGCCACCCAGCATCACCCAGAGCACGTCTACATGCTGTGCCAGGCATGAGGTAATTGATTGGCAGCTGACCATGAGCTTGAACTAATGTTCAAAGTAAGTAATAACCTCCCTGAGGTGTTTGGTAAGTCTCCTGATGAACTGGCCTGTTGCGCGAAGCGGAGGGGAGGTGGTGGGGCCCTGCGTGGCTGAGGGTGGGCTCGCATGTCCTTGTGCTGGCCAGCTGCTCCCAAGAGGTGGTGGCATGGTTACTGTGGGGAACTGAGAGCCAAACGGGGCAGGGGGTGCAGGATGCACAGGGGAAAACCAGCTTTGGTTGGGTCGGAGGAAAGATGTGCTGCGCCCCAGCAGTAAGATTAGGGGGGACGAACCTCTGACCTGGGAATGGTTTACTGGTGAGGACAAGAAGATAACACCAGGACCTTCTGCAACATCCCACAGTGCTGCAGAGCAGCATCAGACCAGCACTGACCCCCTAAGCTATCGCAAGCCCACTTAAGCTGATGTGTCAAGAAAGCAGGCGCAGCAGGTAAGAAGTGAGGAAGACCCTTTGCTATCACAAGCTGGCCCCTTTGAGGTGGCACCTTGGCCTGGCACTGAATCTGCACCAAGAAAAGGTAGGGAGAAAGCTGGATAAACAGTAGCACCCAAGCGTGCTCTAAAGGCTAAATTAGCACAAGAAGTCCCTGATGCACCATATGACAACCAACAAGGGCCTCTTGCCACAGCAGGTGCCAGAGCAACACGGCAAGGTGGACTTCTCTCAGAGCACCCATGGAAGCAGTTCAGCAGTAGCACCAAGCCATTGGTCACAGAGAGGAGACAACTGAATACTCAGAAACTCAGCCTGGCCCCGTGATGTGCATCCATTGCTTCCACTAGTTTGCAGAAATTACTTTAGCAGCACAAGCTTCCTAGAAACCCTGGCCACTGCAGAGCAAAGGATGAGCTATAGCAACAAAGGGAGAGCTACAGGAGTATTTTAATTGAGCAGGTAGAGGAAGAAAGCAAAGTCAGTGGCTGACATCTGCTACAAAGCAGGAAGCTAATTCTGGGCCCACAATTAACCCAAGACACCGTGATGGAGACAAGTCAGTACAGACCAACACAAACAGCTGAAGGAATTCACTTTCCCACAGGAGAGCTTCTAAGGATGCTCTAAAGGGAGGGCTGCAATAGTATGTAGTGCTTGCACCCAGCTTTACTGGGGGTGGCAAAGCACTGAACCCCCACTCCACTGACAGGGGAACAGAACAAGGGGCTTGAAGCAAAAGAAAGGTGGAAGCAGACATCTCTGGTGTATGTAAGACCCTCCAGCTGCATTGCTGCACCCCAAGGCAGAGCAGAGAGGCAGCAGAACTCTGCTCCATGCTCAGCTCAACCCCTGAGCACGGCAGGGCTTGGCTGCACAGGGCAGGCATGGCAGAGCCTTGGCACTTGGGGATCGCAGCAGCACGCTGAGCCACACGCGGTCACCTCTGGCCAACGCAGAGCCAGGGCAGCGGGGTCTGGCTCCCAGGCTGAGTAAGGATCAGGTGGCAGCTGGGAATGAAGCAGCTCCTACCCGGGCTGACACAATGGCAGGGCAGGCAGGCTCCCTTCACGCACACACACCCAAGGTGGAAAAGCAGAAGAAAGGAGGAAAAGCAGAAGGACATGACAGTGGTTAAAATACAAGTTATAACGTAAACCCAGCTCTACCCTGGAGGGATGCAGATGGAGTGGAGGACAGGCACAGCTCACCATGTTCATTCCTTAGTTATACATGAGAACTGAGTGTGTTTCCGTGACCCCTGGGGGAAAGGGATGGGGCAGAGCTTCCCGAGCCAGCTCCTGAGCCTGTCAGATTGCCTCCTGGCTTGAGGTGAGGAACTCTTCTGCTCTCTTGTGGGCCTCCAGGGCTTTTATAGTGTAGACGTCCTGAGGAAGCTCAGATTTCCGGCGCAGCAACACTTTATCCTTCTTTATGTCTTTCAGCATCTGCAGACAAACCAAAGGAGTCAGGAATCAGCAGAAAACTCCTCCACACCTCCAGCTGCTCTGGGATATACTGGGTGACACCACGGGATGCTGTGGAACAGGCTGAGAGCCAAACACAGACCAAAAGGAGGTGGGAAGTCCCACTTGCACTATTTTCCAGAGCAGGAAGGTGAGATAAACCCCACTCTTCAGAGTACAGGTTGGGATCTAAAGATCAGGGATGACAGTTGGGGTATTTCCCCTCAGAACACTTGGAAACTGGACCCTGGACTGACTGTTCTGCTCTGAGAGTAGCTGTGGAAGGCCCCACGTCACCTACACACCTGCACAGCTTCTGTCTCCACTGTTTTCTTCAGTAGCTGTATGTCCTCCGCAGTGGGGGTCTCCGTTTCCATACAGCAGACAGGAGGCAATGGTGGAGGTGCGTAATACATGGGGTACTGCAGACAACACAGACAGCTGGAGAATCAGCACGCCACCCAACACCAAGCCTTCTCCCCCAGCATGTTAACACAGCACAGCATACTTCTTTGGCACCCACAGAGACAGCAGCAGGTACACAGACAAGAAAGGAGCATCTTTGCCTACCCAGTGCAGAAGCTATAGCACCATGTGTGTACAGCCACAGCTGAGAGAGGAGTCCATATACATATCAACACATACCTGCTCCCTATAAGGCATTACATGACCAGCACCCCCACGACCCTGTGTTTTGGGAGGGAGGGAGCACCACTGCAGTTGCGTGCACAGGACTGAGATCAGGTGCTAGAGCCTGCTTTCACAAGCTGAGGAAGCAGGTCAAGATCCCCCACATTCTTGTCTGCTTCATCTTAGGCCCTGCTGTTACCCACCTGGGGGTTCAGCCGGGCCAGCTCCTCTATTTTCTGCCACATTTCTTCTCGTTCCTTCATCCTGAACCTTCCCCTGCAGAGAGAGAGAAAGCACAAAGTGTGAACTCCTGGGGAAAGCGCATCTTTCACTCACAGGAAAAGCAAGAGACAGCAGGAAAGTGCAGGCGAGGGGGAAGAGCTGCTCCGTCCTTCAGAGACTCTCAATTTGCTTTTGACATCTTACCAAATCTGCTTATCTAGGAGAGCAAAATGTATAACCCTGATAAAAACCCAACACAAGGTTTTCTGAAGCATAATTGGTCAGAGAGGCACTGGAGAGAGAAAAAATATCATCTTAACACGAGCAGAAAACATCTTTGTGGCCTTCCTTTGGACTTGCTCAAGCAGGTCCATGTACCTCTTGTGCTGGGAGCCCCAGAGCTGAATGCAATCACCTTGTAGTGCTCAAGAACAACTGAACATCTCCCAGACCTCCCCACTGCCTGGAAGGGTTAGTCCTGCTCCCCCCACTGCCACCTCTGTGGCCCCCTTGGCTCATCCAGGAGTGAGCAGCACTACTTTATGTCACTAAGTCAGCAGAAAACAGACCTAAGGAAGGAAAATAGTTTCCTTCTTGCTTACTGAACTGTCTTGGTTCACAAGGCATCAAAACCAGCACAAGGAAGCAGAAAAGGTGGAACTATTTCTTCTTCGCAGCATCATGGTACTGGTACTTGCTGAGCTCAGATTTTTATCCCCATCATTTGCTCTTTGAAATTCCAGGTATTTTCTCACCTTTATTACTGGGAAATTGAAAATGCAATGTGCTCACCGCAGCAAAGCTCTTCACAAAAGTGCTTCTGAAGCAGCAGGGTTCCACTGGCAAGCGCACAAACATCTCTGCAAAGCTGAGTATCTTCTACACTGCCATTTATTTCCTCATGACCCAGCAAACTCAGTCACTCTCTTTCAAACCACTTGCTCCAGCAGAACTGAGGGTTCTTATCAGGGCACCCATTTTACCTTTTCTCATCCCTCCACAGAGTTATTGGTGAGGGACCCTACTTTTTGACAGCATGATTTGCACCACCTTTCCAATTCCCCTCTGCCTACTGGCATCTACCGTCTGTTACCGTACACCAAGGAGACTCCAGCACGAGCTCAAGTTACTTGGCAAGAATCTCTTACTCACTTCTGCTTCTCTGCCTTGTATTGCTGTGTGCAATCATCAAAAAGCTTTTGGTTCATCTCCATGAACAGCTTCAGTGCATTGTATATCAGCCCATGGATTGTCCTGCAAAGAAATGGGGAAAGAAGAACAAGTCATGGTGGGATCCTCCGGGTCTTCAGCCCTGAGTTAGCACCAATAGTGCAGACAAGAGCTAACAGCAGCAACAACTCACATACTACAGCAATGTGACAAGAGGTTTTCACACAATGCCAGCCATTAGCAGGGGAAAACCCCCTCTACAAACACAGAAGAGTAAGGCACAGGGGAAAAGAGACACAGAATAAAGAGAATACCACTGGGGCAGGTCTGCTCTACTGTGCTCAGACTAATGAATGCAAAAATACACGTTTATTTCTTGTATTTAAAAACTGAAAAAGATGCCAGAGACCTGCTCAGGGCTGCTCTCAAGGGGGCTTTACCTAACCCAGCTTTAGTGCCTCCCACAGGTCACTTTGCACATACACAGTCACTGGTTTGGGCTGCCCAGCATTGGCTCAGGAGCTGTCACTGAGGTGCTATAAACACAAACATTCAGCAGCCCCTGCAGAGGTGGGAACCAGCACAAAGAATACCAGAGAAGAAAAGCTGACTTTTGTCAGCAGTTTATAGATAGGTCCCACTGTGCATGAGCTCTCTGTGGGACAAGGACTCTCATGGGGAATAAAAAGCTGTCTCTGAAATACCTGACCTAGAGGCAACAGGTGAGAGATGCACTGCATGGAGCTCTGTGCCTCACCAGCTCCAAGAAGAGAGCTACAGCCCTGCTGGTTTTACACACACTGTCTGACCAAGTGTTGGAGTACAGGAGCCATGAGAAGGAAGGGGACAATATGAAGTATTTAACCTGGGCTAAAACAAGGAGAAATAAGAGAAAAACACCTTCAGGACTTCTGGCATATCACTGGGAATGAGACAAGAAGGAAAGACAGAAACAGCAGAATCATGAATTTTGACTGGGGCAAGAAGGAAACAGAACTGGTGAAGGGTTCCAGACAAGAATATGAAAGTCCTTTTCTGAACTCTGATCAGAAGGGCCATTAACACTGACAGTGTGTCACTGTGCATCTGTCTGCATGCACACGTGCACACTGTGCACACACACCATGTATGTCTGCGTGCATGTGCCTTGTCTGCAACCCTGTCTTTGGTATCGGACTATCCTCCTAAGCTCTGGAGTTGCCAGTCTCCCTAGAATTTACTAGTGCTCATTTTTTCCCACCCTCTAGGATAGGGGAAGATGACTTTATTCTTATTTTTGTAGTTTCTGATGAAAGATTTTAGGATCTCAGCTGTGGGGTGAGTACTCTCAGCTAATTCATTAAAAGGAAGGGAGTTTTACAACTTGAATTAGGCAGGTAAGGAATCAACTGAAGCAGCAGCCAGAAGAAAAGAAGTTGATGGGAGAACCATAAAGCAGACTAGTATTGAGGAATCAGACACAGAGGGCAATGATTTGACATGGGACATGTGCCTGGTTAGTTCTGCTTTCTCCTTTCTTCGTGTACTCAAGAAGTCAAGACACTACATTAGCCAAAGTCTCTGGTCATGGAGAACATAAGGGTGATCCTTAGTTAACAAGCAGCCAGAAGTCAGCTGGAAAACCTCCTGCACACCTCCAAGAGACTGGCAGCGCTAGTGACATGCAGGCATCAAACTCTGGGTAGACTCAGTGGCCCCAAGGTGGATCACTGCAGGTCCTGACTCCTTGCAGAAACACGTCACTAAGCTCTGCGGTGGCACTTTTCCATGCTGATACTACTGACCCCTTGGTAGTAGGTCAAGGGATCCTGTATGCATGGCAGCAAGTGCCAGGGGACGTGGAAAGACCTACTTGTTCCAGTGACTCTTGGAGTTCTTGTAGAGCGCTGGAAACATGATCGGGAGGATTTTGGCTGCGTTATCGCTGATTAGGCTCATGATATATTCGTTGTTCCAGTAGTACAGTGCTCGCTCTGCCACCTGCAGCAGGAGAGAAAGACAGACTTGGAGAGGCTCCTTCCAGTAACACTGGCGGTGCACAGGGAGGCTGTGCAGTGCTGAGACCAGAGCTTGCCACCACCCAGCCAAGGAGCACCGATGACTTCAACACCCTTTACACAAGACTTGAGGACAGTAACGTTACCCACTCCACGTCCCAGCTCAGACTAGCTCCAAGTCTCCTTCATTTCCTCAGGCTGTCCCCTGTACATCTCCATTCCTTCCACTCCTCTCCGGCCTTCCCCACAACAGTCTTTCTAGGCTCTCAAGCACCCTTCAGTCACCAGGCCCACAATTCATCCCCTCATTATACAGGTGAAAACATGGAAAATCTTGGGGCAGCCACCCTGCTCTTACGAGACAAACAAGACTAACAAGTTCCCACATAGTGATAGATTCAACCACAACTCTTCATATTTGACCACAAATCAGGGCAATGCAGATCACCGAGCTAATTCCTGCATTTAGCACTAGCTTGAGAACGGCTTAAAAACCCAGGAAGAGGCTCCAGCTCTTAGATCTGGTTAAGCCTTTGTCTGCTAGATTAACACACAATCCACTCAGAGAAAACTCTCCCCACCAAGATGTTCAGACTTACCAAGAAGCCAGTTCCTATTTCTGTTCTCAGACAAGCTGCAGACACAGAGCCTGTTCAGCCTGACCATATGGGGCACCTTTGGGGTTAATTTTCTCAGGCTGAAAAGTATTTGCACCTTCTCTGGGGTTTTCAATCATGTTTTTTAAAGAGTTGGCAGCAGCTGAGGGCTGCTATCAAGTACAGGATGCCTCTCCTCCAGCCTTTACCCTACTTTATTCAAGCTCCTTACTCCCTACTGTTAAGTCCTTCCACACCCAAAGGTCACGTTTGTCCTTTGCTTCCCATCACCACACCAGTAATCCATGTCCAGCTGGTTTCCGTCAGGCTCTCCCAGTCCTTTCCAGGAAACAGTGATCTTTTACATACACTAGACTGACCTCATTTTTGGCTTGTAATCACATGATTCTGTACCTCTCTGTACCAAAAGACAGGCTGAAGCCAGTCTGCCTCGCTGTGCAGTCACACTCACTCCAGGAGGGGGCTATGTCACTCTTTCACACCCCAGCCATACCTGGGCCAGCCCTGTGTTTCACCAGCAAGCTATCTGCTTCCTGGACACTCTTCATGGCAACCAAAACCGGTGAGCCAAGAATACCTGCTAGGAGATACTGCTGTCCTACCACCCTTGACATTTTAAGCCTTGACTACCAGCCACAGAGACTGTTTTAGCCTGGTACTACAGGCAGTCCCCTTCAGTGTGAACAAGGAAGAAGCAGACTCTGGCATTTCTTCAGTACACCTCACCCTTTGCAACCAGCACCAGAATAATACAACATGACTTCTCTACAGTGGCTCTTTGGTTGGCCTCCTTCCAAAACTGCAGCCAGCTTGGTCTTACTGCAACAGGATGACACTGGGTGGATCTCCTCTATGTTTGCTAGCCAAAACAGGAGGCAGACCACCTCTACTCCAGCTTCAGCTGCTGCAGTAGATGGTGCTGAAAAGCAGAGATCAGCAGGAAGGGCTCCACCGATCCGCTTTGTTTTCTCTTTGGATGAGCTTGCTCTGTGGTTGTGGTGAGGATTCTCACCACTTCCCACCACACGTCACCCCAATACTCACCCTGCTTACACCTCCCATGATCCACAAAGACAAGCCCAAAAGCTGTGGTGACACCCTCGCATGCAAAGTGGGTTACAAGCCAGTGCCCTGTCCCCTCCCTGAGCTGCGACTCACCTGGAAGTGTGGGCTGGAGACACACTTGGCCAACTGCCTGAACAAGGGCTCCATGACTTTCACAAACTCAGATGGCTCAATCACATCCAAGATCTCCTCCAGCTCGTTCAGGAACATCACCTCCTTGGGGCTGTGAGTTTTTGGCCAGAACTTCAGCAAGCCCACGATCACCTGCATGAAGGATACAGAGACAGTGTCAGAGGCTGACAGTTAACACCAGCTGTGAAATACAGTTTTAAGGGTCTGGTTGCAAGATCAGAAGGAAGGAAATTACAGAGGAGGCTTTCTCAGGAAGTCATGGTGGGGTCATCAGGGAAGAAAGAAAAGCCCAAACTCTGCCATGTTAACCAGCACTGCCCAGGCTGCTATGATTCTGTACTGCAAGCACAAAGCCTAGAACCACCTTTTTCCCCAGACACAGCTTAACATGGAAGGCTCAAACCAGGGTGGGCTGGCTGATGGAAGAGAGCAACTAATAAAATTGGGAACACTATGGAAAAGGTCCCTGAAGAATCCTTATTCAATACACTGCAGAGTGGTGTAGGAGCTGCTCTTTCAAACTCTGATCATGAAGCCAGCACTCAAGAGGAAGTTTACAGCAGTGGGCAAAGCAACAGCAAGATTAAACACATCTTGAGCATTACATTTCCACCAACTCCAGGCTTCTCAGCCAACAGTTTGGTACCCTCAGTTTGTCATTACTCAGGTCTGCCATTCAGTCAGCTGCAGTGACTCAGACATCATTTCTCCTACAGCTAAGGCGGTGCGAGGTGTGTCGAGTCTGTCTCTGCCACTGCTGAGCACATCTGAGGCCTTGCTCACCTGGCAGTCACTCAGACTGCTGTTAACCAAGAGCTACCACGTCAAGCCTTGCTGAGCAAGCTTCTGGGAGGCCCACTTGAAGTGATTGTGGACCTAGTGAGTGATCTGGCCTCTTTCCATTTATTCTAAACCTTCACAAGCAGGATGTTTCAACAGGACACGACCTGTGGCAATACAGCCTTGACACGTCTGGTTGGGACCCAGCGCAACACCCACTGAAGCAGGGTCACCCCACTGCTTTCCACAGCATCAAACCAGGTCTGGGTCTCTAATTCAGGGGCCACTGGCCCACTACCCAGAAAGCAGTGACGAGCTATGGGGCTTAATTGTTTCAGTAAGCTGAAAAGTGAATCCTGGAAATATTGATGGATTTCTCTGCCTCTCTTCTCCCTCACCCTACAGAAAGTGCTTTGGCAGGAGGCTTTGGGCTGGATGTCAGCCATAGGAAGTACTCAGCAAGATCAGGAAGCTACTGTATGCAGTTTATTTCAGAGCAGGCTTCTGGGAACACAGGAAATGGAGGACCCACATTTAAAGGAAAAGCTGGGAGCTCTGCTTCAGCACTGCACAGAGCTGAGGAGCCAGAAAGCTGGCAACAGTTGACCAGCTTCCTTCAAGAACAGCCAGGCTCACCACCAGCACACACACTTCAGCCAGGGAACAGAACGACCTCAGCTAGTGTTACTCATGAGAAGGCTCACACTTTCTGGTGCTCCCTGCTACAGTGACACAAGCATGTGTTCTTTGGCCATCTGCTGTTTTGAGGCTGTGAAGCTCAGCACTGTAGAAGACATTTCCTGGCCTGCAGTGGGTGGAGAAACACTCGTCTCCTGCTTGCACCCTCTGCCAAGCTGCCACATCGCCTGGTTAACGCTGCAGGTCTGTGCGAACTGGAATACGTGAGCTCCCCATCCACACTGCTCACACATTTTGGATCCATCTGTTTCCCAGCACTGCATTCTGAAGGCCAATGCGTCTATAAGGAGACTTAATACTGTGAAGGAAACAAACTGATGCAAGAGCAGGGAGGAGAATACTTTCATCAAGGAACAGTGGCTTGTCTTGGACCTTTGTGCCCCAGGTTCCTAACCTCATTGCCACAGTGAACTATCAGACTGAACTATCCCTGTTTCAGGGCCCCCACAAGCTCATGCTGGTTCCATGAGATATCCCATGGCCATGTGTTTTGTCTCTGCAGCATCTGTCACGAGCTGAAAGCTCTGCCCTGGAAGGACAGCATGCTATAGTGTTCCTTCTGCTACACCAAGATCCAAAGCACAAAGGAAGACTATAGGCCACCTTCCTGAAGCTTTCTGATTTGCACTTGAGCAGCATGGCCCCTGCTGTTCACAGGGTACAAGGCAAACCCAGTAAACAACCCAACTGATTCTCAGTTTCTTCAGCCTTTTTTCACCCTTGCTGTAGTCTAAAGGAGCAGAAAAGCTTCTGGGGTTTGACTGACACAGGAAGGTTAAGCGAGGTTACTCACTGGCTCTGTCAGGCTGCTGTCTTTCTCCAAGAACTGTACAACACAGTACGCCAACTGTAGGAAGCAAATATGGAAAGATTAATCTCAGGTACACTTGGGAAACTCTAAAGTGCCACTGCCACCCTAGGCTGAAAGTCACATTATGTCCTTCACAGTGTGCGTGGTGAGTGCTGTTGCAGCTCTGAATCCAGTTCTGATGGCAAGCAAAGGCTCTAAGCCCAAGCAGGCAGGGCCTGAGCTCAGGATATCCGTGCAGCATAAAGAGTAAAACTTAAGCCACCTAGAGCAGCCCCCAGCTATTACATTCAAATATCAGCACAGCTGCACACAGGAGAAGGGACAAACCTGACTATCAGAAAGGCCTGCTGCATAAAAACAAGGCTGGGTGAGCAGACATCACTGCTCAGTACCCACACTTTCCAATTCCTAGCCTGAGTCCTGATCTTCTCTTCTATTATGTATTCCAAATTGCAATCAGTTAATCCCTGTACCAGTCTTGCAGCCCAGCACATGGATTTCTGTTCGTATCTCAGTGGTGACTAACAGCTGACCCACCACACACTGATGACTGCAGCTCGGAATTTCACCTCTCGCTTCAGCAGGGCCCCAGTATTTCACAAAATTCCAGCATGGAAAGGCAAAGCAGGGCACAGCAATAAATCAGCAGGAAATGGTAGGATACCCTTCTATCAGCCAGTGGCAAAAAGCACACGTGTGGCCAGGACACCACAAGGCTGGGACAAACCATCACAGACAGGGACTAACGCAGAGCCCAAACCATCTCACGGCAAGCACTTTGTATACCACAGTCATGCAGCCCAGTAAATCACAGAACCACAGAATCAACGAGGTTGGAAAAGACCTTTACGATCATCCAGTCCAACCGTTCACCAGCACTGCCAAGGCCACCACTAACCCATGGCACTGAGGGCCTTGCCTACGCGGTTTGTGAACACTTCCAGGGACGGTGGCTCCAGCACTGCCCTGGGCAGCCTGTTCCAATGCCTGACTGCCCTTTGGGGAAGGAATTGTTCCCAATATCCAGCCTAAACCTCCCTTGGTGCAGCTTGAGGCCGTTTCCTCTTGTCCCATCCCTTGTTCCTTGGGAGAAGAGACCAACCCCCATCTCACTACAACCTCCTTTCAGGCAGTTGTAGAGAGTGATACGGTCCCCTCTGAGCCTTCACCAGCCTGGTGACTGGTCACCAAGCAGATGTGATGCCATTTACCACCACATTTCGGGCTTGGCCATCCAGTCAGTTTCCAACCCACTGAAGAGCACACCACACCTATCCAGGCCATGAGCAGCCAGTTTCTCTAGGAGGCCACTGGGAGACAAGTGTCAAATACTTTACTTAAGCCCAAATAGACAATGTCCAAAGCCATTCCTTCATAACCAGGCGGGTCCCCTTATTGTAGAAGATCCAAGAACAGTTATAAGCAAGCCTGAACAACAGCTTCTGAAGGACGTAACTTGAAGCACTTCTCACCTGTGGGTGGTAAACACTGAGAGACTTCACCTTGTGCAGGGGTAACAAGACTCTGATGAGGAACATCTTGTGCTCTTCCTTCAGAGGCAAAGCAAACCCATTGATTATACTGAGGAGAAACAAGAGTCTCATTAACAAACTTTACCCAGCAAAAACACAGTATCTTTAACCTCAAAAGAATCAGTGTCTTGCCCTAGCTCTCAGTAGTCACTTGGAGAAAGCACCTGCCAGAAGCATGGTCACTGGGGCCTAACTTGCACACCATGCTCAGCAGTTTACTTTACAGAACAGTGACACCGAATTAAACAAGCTTTTCATCGTGTATTGAGACTTAGCCATGGACAAAGTTACAAGCATTCTCAAGATAAGGAAGGCATGCAACAAGAGGACCGGATTTCTCTCCCAAATCACTGCAGGCCTTTCTCCTGTCAATAAGGTTTATTACCTGAGAAACAGGTAAATGGCTGTGAAAGAAAACTGCTAGAGAAGCCTCTCAGGGTCATGAATTAGCCCAAACAAGCACATGTAGGTAACTGGCAAGACTAAACACACATTCAGTGTCCTTACCTAATGGATTTCCATAGAAGTATAAAACCAGTGGGGGTATTTCTGCCCAAATGACCACCACGACTCCCAGAGACCACTCCTCAAACCCACAGCGCCTGCACCATGGCCTTGTCTACCCAAATTACATAGGCAATGAGGAACCGGGGTGAGCATTGCACGGAATTGTGATGAGTATGTCTATAATAAAGGTATACAAGCTGTAAACTGTCTCTTTTTGGTGTGCATGAGAGGCAGAGCGATCCTCCATGCTCACAGTACTGCATCTGAGGAGAAGGCTACCACATTTCCCAACAGGCTGGAGAGTATTTTCACTCTGTGCTTTGTCCAACTGATACCCCTGGAAGAGGTGGCTCCTCTTCAGCAAGGGCTGCTGAAGGAAGGTACTGCCAGCTCATGCTGCACACTGGGCTGGGAGACCACTCACTATGGGGCCTTTGGGACTTCCAAAAGTGCTCTTACCTTCCCAGGATCTCCAGCAGTTCTGCAATCCCATTGTGGTGCTCTGTTTCATAGATGAACCTAAAGAAGAGAGAATGAGATGTCATTGCCAAATGCTGCATAGAGTTTGATGAGCAAAAGGAGAGAAAACCACAGGAGATGGGGAGCTTCCTAGCAAATTAACAGAACTCCAGGACAACAGGGCAAGGTGTAAGGGAGAGAAGCAAATAAACTCATGGCCCCCCAGATCAGCTAAAGCTCACACGTCCCAACACATGCTCTGTGTGCACTGAAGATAGTGATATCACATTCTTTCTGCTCTTAAACACCAGTGAATGCTGTCCCTACCAAAGTAGTGTGACATAACTGAGTCACTTTGCTAATCACAGCATGGATCAGAGACACACAGCCTAGTGCCCCAAATTTTCCTCCCTGATTGTCCCATTCACTCACTAGGCCAAGTGACACTACGAAACATCTCACCTGTAAAATATATTGTTGATCTGCCGCCTCACATACGCTCGCAGACCCAGGAACTTCCCATAGATCCTGTGCAGAATAGTCTTTAGGAAGTCTCGTTCTCTGGGGTCTTCACTGTCAAAGAGATCCAGCAGCTGTGGAGAGAGAAGTTCAGTCCATGCCTGCATGCTGCCAGCCTGCACAAAACTAACAGCAACACAAGCTGGAACCGTCAGTGGCACTGTGGTGGCCTGCACACTCTACAAACCTGTGTCCCCCTAGGGTTTCCCTTGCAAGGCCCCAGTGCCCCCCTCCATCTGGACAATGAGAGATGAGTTCCAGTGACTACAGCTCACCCACACTTGCCCTGCACAGAGAATTCTGGCTGCTCCTTCAAGACTAAACAAAGGGAAAGGGAAAACCCACATCACCAAGCACCTGCTGACGAAGCTGGACTGTTTGAACAACACCTGGACCAAAACCTGCTGCGTGGCCTTCATAAAGGTGGTGCACAGGGGCAGGGGCAAGGACTACTTACAGACAGTACAAACTTCTGGTCGATGTATTTCTTGGCTACGTTTGGTTGAAAATCAGGTGATTCCAAGAACCGGAGGAAGAACTCATACACCAGCTATGGATAGAAGGAAAGATGACTCAGAAATGCCCCCATCCTCTCATCGATGTTTACTTCAGGTTTTAAAGGTTTTCCTTCTCCTTAAGGATGTGGGGAAAGGCTGAGAAGCACAGAAAATACAGGAACCCGTTTCCTCACTCAGTGGGATCAACTCAGCTGCCCTTGCTCTGATGGTGGCTCGTAACTGCTCCAGGGCTTGGAGCAACCTGGTCTAGTGGAAGGTGTTACTGCCTGTGCAAGGGGCTGGAACTGGATGAGCTTTAAGGTCCCTTTCAACCCAAACCATTCCAGGATTCTACGATTCCCTGTCTTTTCTGGTCAACTGTTTGCCCCCAGTTAACACAACTGAATTACAGACGCATACAGGAGATGTTAGCAGGTACAAGCACAGGCTTTGCTTTGGCACTAAGCAGTCCTCTTCCTCCATGTGCCTCCCATGGAGCTGGGGAAGGAGAGGATCATTGAAGCAGATAGGGTTGCTGTCTCCACTGCTACTGAAGCCCAGAAGAAGACTTGAGCCTTCAGGAGGGACATTACCATAGCTGGGAATTGCTTCTTACACAGGCAACACAGCACAGCTCCCTGCCCCTCAGTTAAGCGTTCACTTCCAGCCTACCTCAGGGCCATGTGGAACTACAGCCACCTGCAGGTGAACGTGGCACACAGCCATCAGCCTGTTTCCAGGACACCCCTGCTGCCTGCATTGCCTCCAAGCCACCTCTGCCCCATGGGTGTCAGGCCTGGCCTCTCCTGGTCCCCACACCAGGACCCCTTGCAGGCACCAGCACTGTGTGTACTCTTGACTCCCTGGAGATGCATCCACCCGACATCTATCCCCACTCCTCTTCCTCCTCACCTGCAGGTGTGGCCAGGCAGCCTCTAGTGTAGGCTCATCTTCCTCAGGGTCAAACTCCGCGCCTGTGGGGTTGGATGATGGCGGGAGCGTCCGGAAGAGGTTCACTGAAAACTGAGGTGTGGGAAAAGGTGTGTGAGGAACAGCCCTGCACCCCACAATGGTGCTTCCCATAGCTCATCCTCCACTGCAGAGCAACAGACTGTGACCCAAAGACAGAGCCCTCTCTAGAGGTGGTGGGGTTACAGTCTGCATATGAACTCTGCAACAAGAGAGAGCTCCCACCTCCCTTGACACCAGACAGTGTCACCCTCTACCCTCTGCTTCTGCTCCTTCTGTGGCTGAGCAGATTATAAGGAATGGGTAGGACCGGGGACAAACTTCTGCCTGACATATCCCTATCTTTTGCTCCCACCCAAGCTTCTGCACAGTCCCCATTTCTTTGATAGACACACACAGCAGCCCCATGTCCTACCATGATAACAGCTTCAGGATAGATGGCCTCAGTGACAACATCACGGTTGTGAGTGATGTATTCTACCATCTCGTTGAGACCTGCTCGCTTCACCTCCTTGAACTTCAGGTCACTGAGGGGGTCAGAAATGAAGTCAAAAAGCACGCAGCACTGCCGCAGCTTCTGGATGAAAAGCTCTTCTCGTTCATGTGGAGGAGCATCTGTCAGAGAGAGCAGGAATGCCTTGGAGATAGGCAGAACATCTTCCTGGTTTGCCCAGGTACCAGTGTGGTTTCCTCCCTGTCCTGCGTTCCCCCCTTCCCTGTCACAGTCCCCCTTGAGCTGGTGGGAGGAAGCAGTGTTATCCCTGCTATGGAGATGGGACAGTGGAGACAGAGGGATTGCAAGCAACTATCCCATAGGGCAATATCAGACATGGTAACCGTTTCTGGTCTGATAAGCACTGATCCCTTCGCGGTACAAGGAGAAAGAACTCACTTAACAAGCTCCCATCGCAGACCAGGGACACCCATGCACTACACCCCAGCCACAAAGGGAGCAGGACAGAGCACACTGCAGGCTAACCCTCCTCCCAGAGAGCAGCCCAGAAGAGAGGGGCCAAGGTGGCGGAGGCCCTACATTAACAGCATTCTCTTTTTGGTATGTTGCTATTGGGAACTATGCACCGCTAAGGCCATTCAGGCAAACTTAACCTTTTGCTTGCAGAGTGGCTGCCGAGCTGCAAGGCAGTTTGCTCTTCCGAAAAGGACTGCCTGTTTCTGTGGGCAATGTCAGCAAAGGGTCTGGCTGAATGACTGCTGAAAATGCTTTCTCCTTGTTCACACTTAAGTCATGTTTAATTGCACCATTATGTAGACTAACTGCTAATGTTGGGTAATTGCCTGAAGGTGGACAAGTTCAATAGCACTACCATAATTTGCAATGGAAACACCAGGAGGAGGAGGGGAAGGCCTGGTCCTCTCTAGGGAACAGGTGGATGTAGAAACAAGAGACTGCACAAGGGTCTCTGCACTTCACCACCTTCCTACACAACCTGCTGAAGAATCTGAAGCAGTCCTAAGCACATATTAACACAAGGGTTTTCATCACTTCAAATGGGAAGGTAAATAGTGAAGTTCACAATGAACATTCTCCTTTCCTTTGAGGCTATCCATCACTGATCCTCAACCCACTGCCAAGCCAAGCACCTTTCCCAGAGCATCCTGGCTGCACTGCTGGCAGGGTCACTTTGGGAAGAGCTGTTACACCACCAAACTCTGCCTGGAGCAGATGTAGCTTGCCATGCAGGTCAACCCCACAGGGTAGCTTCCTTACCTTTAAGGGCTGGGAGCTTTTGGAGCTCCCGGTTTTTGCTCAGATTGAAGCGGGAAGAGCTGTGCCTGCGCTCCTTCTTCACAATCTGGGGTCCCCCAGAGTACTTGATCTTATTCAGCTGGGTTGGGGGGGGAGCGCTGTTACTGGGCCGCTTATTTGAAGCTGGTGTCTGCTGCTGCTGCTGCTGCTGCTGCTGTTCCTGAGAAGAGAATAAAACAACCCATAAGCTGTCAGCTACAAGCCTCATGAGCCATCAGACCCCATCAGCATCTTGCACTGAAGAAACCAGGCATGTTTTCCACTGTTGCACTTGCAGTTTGGTGCATCTCACCCGCTTCCGCAGGGCTCCTGACCCGCTGGTTGCATTTGTATACCTGCAAAGGGAATATCAGGTTTACTCATGGCTGTGAGGAACCACAGACACCACAGATTCGTGGCATGGTGGCTGCTAGAGATACAGACAGCAAATCCATGCCTTGCAATAAGTGACAGGAGTTTGTTGTCACAAAATAAAAGCAGAAATAAGAACTTTCTGTGGCCCAAACAGAGAAGTCAGTGTATTGCTGACTCCGATCACAGCACTGTCCAACCCACAGCAAGCAAGTTCTGAAAACTAGTGACTTGCTCCTTATCCTTGTGCAGGGGACTGCCTGGGAAAAGCAAAGCAGCAGGCAGTACGGTCCTGAGAAGGCAACAGTGAACACCACTAAAATCACTGCTGCACTCATAGACCAGGAGCCTACAAACCACACAGGCCATACCCAAAGCTTAGGCTTTCCCAACCCACCCTAGCTGCTCCCTCCATCTCCACCTTGTCTCAGCCTTGCTGCTGTCTGGTCTTAATTTGCTTTTTCCACATCAGCCCTTCAGAAACACTTTCTTGTTTCCAGCAGAAAGTCAAGCTAGCGTTTGCTCAGCTCAGCTCTGTTCTGACCTCGCTGAAGCTCTGCAGGTTCCAGGTCCACCAGGCCCATAATGGCTCAGTAACCAACACAACTTAATGTGGAAGAGGGCAACAACCCAAAAGGATGCCTACAGCAGAGGGCTTAGCTGCAGACAGCACTCAGCCTACGCTGGCTCTGCTGCGTGAGCCCGGCAGCGCTCCCTTCCTCAGCTCTGCCACATCCTTCCCGCTGGTGCACAAAGCCAAGGAGCTGCAAGGTGAACCTATTTAGGACACAACAGGGACAGTGCGATGGATGAGGAGCAGGAGCGATGAAATCCTTGGCCATCACCTTTCCCTGCCCCCATGAACTCCCAGCTGCCACATACAGCACAGCAGTACAAACACACCCCTTGAGAGCACCAATTTTGAGGGAGAGCACCAGCAGTGCAGAAGCTCATTAGAGCTCTCCTCCAAATGAGGTATAGCCAGTCTCCTCCTGCGAGCAGCAGCTGAGCTGCAGCTTGCCCTGCACAGTCCTTACCCTGCACTGAGGCCTCATGGTTTCCAAAGACATGAAGCACAGCACCACAGTGCAGGAGCTACTGTACCCACAGCATGCAGGGACAGCAAGGTAGGAATAGGGAAAGCTGCCTACAAGGAGACACTGTGCAAAGGCTCCCTGTGCAAAACAGTGCCCAACACAAAGCACCAATTATTTTGTCAAAGTCTTGCTTTGAACCAGAAATCAGAAACATTTCTGTTCTGGTCTGGCTTTGCTTGAAGGAAATCTTAAGAAGTTCTGCTTCACGCTCAGCTCCAAGCCAAGGCTGGGGGAGACAAGAAGATTTGAACTCTCTTCAGTTTAGATATGATCTGATTTCCTTCATGGAGCAGCACTGTTCCACAATGAGGAGGGAACAAGATGAGGTTGTGATGAAAACAGCCATATCTGTCAGACAAAGCAGGCCCAGGATACAAACTGGAGGCAAGATATCCTGAACAGTGGTCTCAACTCAGTTGAGTCAGACTGAATCCTTTTTGACACCCTTCCAAGAATGAGTTGTTCGTTCCTCACCCCGATATTTGGGTATCAGGGCAGCATGAGACACTCAGATGCTGCCCACATGCTTTTTGGAAGGTTAGTCCTCTACATAGTCTCCTTCCACAGGGAATAAAAGCAAAATGTGAATGATGAGAAAAGATGGTACAGAGGGAAACAAAAGATGCACCAGCAGCCTCTCGGGGAACACTGATGGAACCAGGACACATGGGTGATCGAAGCTGCCAGGATATGCCTGTGCACTCCCCCTAACCCCACCTAGAAAAGCCACAGGTGGAGTTCTGAGCATGGTGTGTGTACCCCAGGCTAACAGGCTGTGGCCACACTGCCTTCACTGGGGCTCCAGAAAGTCCTTGCCACCAGCTTCTACAGCTTCCAATAGCTAAAGGCATGAAGAGAGACCAAGCACAGCTTCAGGTTTAGCTGCTATAGAACTATTCAAGAAACAGAAACACACATGCAAAAACCACACAGCTGAGTCTGCTGGAGAAAATCTGGTGATGGGGAAGGGCTGCACTGCTCAGAGATGTTCAGGTCGCTTCTATATGGACTTTCTGACATCAAGCTGAACACGTGCTTTCAGGAGATGCCTCCTGTGGCAGGCCTGCTCTTCTTCTGCCCTCCTACCTTGGCCTCACGCATCCAACGAGGTTCATATTGAGCTTCCTAACACTTCTTTCCCTGAAGCTTCCACCCCTGAGAACACAGGGTTGTTTCTAGAACGGAAAGCTTTTCTCCTAACGCACAGCTATCAACCCCACAGACTGCATCCCTGACACCAACACTAGGTGACTGCTTCATGGCTGCAGCACACCAACCTCATGAGGCTCAGCCCCCTCCCGACACGCAGGGCTCAGGCCCACCTCCTCACAGCAAGGCTTGGGAGAACACAGTTTGCCCGTGAAGAGCTGCCCAGAGAACAGAGCAGCATGTGGAATCCTGCCAACAGCCCCAGTTGCAACCACGTTCAAACACCCCCAAGCACAGGCTCCCTGGCTCCATAGCGCTTCCTCCCCACTGGTTCCCACCATCTCTGCTTCCCTTGCTAGGAACTTGCCGGCACATGTCAATGAGCCCCAGGCCCTGGGCTTGCTCTGTGTCATTCCTCTTCACCCTGGGCTCCCAGGAACAGAGACCCTCTTCGCCCCACCCCAAGCCACCCTGAGCCTTGCCAGCCTCTCCTCTGCTCTCCTGCCCGCATACGACCTCACCTTTGCAGGCTCTCCTCCCACAGCTGGGTGCATCGCCACTGGGAAAGCCCTTCTGCCTCACTGGTCCCTTGAGCATCCCCCGCTTGCTAAGCTCCTCAGCCCAGATCTGCTCTCAGCTCCTCCTCCTCAGATGACTCTTCCCTTCCCATCCCTCAAGTCAGTACCTGCTCTCTTTGTCTGCTGTTACACAGCGCCCTATTAAAAGCCAGCTCTGCCTCGCAAGTAACATCAACACACTGTAACGCCTGTCTCTGAATAATGAATTTCAGGTACCGCAGTAACAAGCCCCATGGAGATATCTGCAAAACACGTAATACAGCAGCTCAGTGAAAAGGAGCACCCTCTCCCAGAGCTGCAGATCTCATCAGCAAGGCTCCAAGCTGCCCTCCAGGCTGCAGCGCAACTCCTCTTCACTGCTGCTGCTAATCCCTGCTCCCACTTCCAGGTCATTAACTCTCCTCCCCACCCAGCTGCCTCTCCCAGGCTTTTTGGTCAGGAAGAGTAACTCTTTCTCATCCTCTCATTCAATCTGCCTTGCTCTCTGATATTATTCCTTCTTTTTTTTAATCCTCCTTAAACAGACACTCAGAAATTCTCTCCATTCATATTTTCATCATTTTCCAGAGGGAATGAACTAAACAAACCTTTTTATTTCCCATTCCCCGCTCTGATGATTTTCTCCCCTGCTCCTGTCTCTTCCTGAGTAAACTGCCCCCACCCACCTTCTCCTCCAAAGCCAAGCTCTGCTGGCTTTTCACCTCAGACAGCTTCACTCTAAGATGGGCATCTAAAAGAGCACTGTGCTACCCCTGTACTTAGGACGGAATTCAAACACTTGCCTTCCCTCATGGGGATGCATCTGCTTTTGAACATATCTGCCCTTCCAGATCAGCTCCACTAAAAGCTCCTTCAGTGCAGAGAACAAAGCACTCTGCTTAAGGGTTTCTGGACTGGCTCCGAGCCTCTTCATCTCCCTCAGCCATAGGGAGATCCCCATAGGAGGTCCCTGTCTGCTCCACTTGCTCAGGTGTGTCAGACCAGAGCTGCTCTTCAACAAACGACTCATTCCACCAGCCCGACAACTTGCCTGCAAAACAAGTCACAGCTTTCTGGACCAGGATAAATGAGGGCTCCAAGGAGCAGAGAGGAAAGTGCATACTGGAAAAGGGCTGCCCAAATGCTGTTCTCCTGCTGCAAGCCCATTAAGCACCTATTGTGAGCCGAAGAAAAAGGACGATTCTCTTTGGTGCACACAACTTTCACCCTAAAAAAGGCAACCAACCAACCAACCGTAACTCCATGGAGGAATTCACAGGGCAAAAAACTCTCACAATGGCATCAGAGGCATCCAGGCTAGGCTCAGCCCATCAACCCCACCAGGCAACACCACTCCTGGTGCTTCAGGAGTCAAACCACCTCCTGCTTCTGACACACAGAAGGAGTCTCTCTCTTAGCACACATTACCTAAATCCTCACAGTCCCCCAGTGTGAAAGTCAAAATACCTTTCTGTTCTTCCTGAAGAGCAGGAAAATCGCATTCAAACTGGCATACATTTCTTCTTATCAAGCAAAGAGCTCTCTTCCATTCTGCAGCAGAGCAGTCCAGAGACAGGAAAGCACCCAGAGAAAACAAACTTCACTGCAAGCTCAAGAGGGAAAGGGAGAAGAGACCAGTGGCAGTGCACACTGCAGTGGTGGCTCCTTTCTGCTCTGCTCTCTGTTCCTATGATCAAAGGAGACCCAGCTTTCCATCTTAAAGAAGGGCTGGATTTTCTTTGGAGTATGAGGAAGTGGCTGCATATGTTTTGTGGGAGGGAAGGTTAGACGCATCACTTTTAAGTCTCTCCTGCACCCAGGCATGACCAGACATTACGTGCCATCTCAGGTCGCAGAAGAAAGCTCGTAGCCTGCACTACTCTTCCTTTCTTACTGCACCACTTGCAATCAGGAGAGCAGCGCCACAGCCCGGTGCTGATTTGGATGGGGTCATCACTGCTCTGCTCTCTAAGGCTACCCATCACCCTTGCATTGCAAGCCCTAGGCTTCCCTTCCTCTCCCCAGAGCTGTGAGCTCAGCAGCCAGAGAGTGCCAAATAAGTACAAGGTAAGCCTGACCCCAGGATGCCAATGCTGTTTTCAGCTGTACACACAAAATAAAACGGGCAGAGGCCAAAATCAGGATGGGATGTAAAAGCAGGATCTGCAAAACTGCTGCCTGCTCCAAGGCAGCAAACTCAGCTTCTCATTTCTTGCTGGCCATGTGGCAGGTTGGCTATGGCTTAGACCCTGGAATCAAGTGGCTAGTAGCTGGGATGTCTTCTGAGGCTCTGCAACACAAGTCTGTGCTTTGAAGGAGACTCTAAAATAACCAGTTATTGACAACAACCACCCCACTGAACTACAAATTCCTTCCTACTCTTCATTAGTGTTACACGTCTCCTACCCTCAGTCCTCCACATAACAAGTGCCATGTGTTCCAGACAAGACTGGAGCACAGAATGGACGCAAAAGTGGCACAGGTCGTTTGCCAAATTGTAGTATTAATAGATGACCCACACACACATGCAAGCTCCCTTGGACACGCATAGTCTCAGAATCCACAACCACATTGGTTTTGAGTGCTGGACATACTCAAATCGACCAGAAAAGGTCTAGTTTACCCACATTTTGTTAATTCTAATCACAGCATATTATCACATTCTGCTGATGCCATTCTAACACATCCAGCTTGGCAACATCAAACCGGGAGTGAGACTGCACAGCTGGGAATACAGACTGTGCCTTCTTGTGAGTAATGTGCTCAGCAACAAGGCTGTTCTATCAAAGAGCCATTTCATCTCCAGCAGTTTACCTCTATACTTTCACGTGTCCTACCCATTCCTTCCTAATATCACTCCCCCAGAAAACAATTCAGAAGAACATGTTCCTTTTCTATTGCTCCTCATGAACTCCCACTCTGACACAAGGTGTCAACAGTTTACTGTGCTTTGCTCTGACAGGAGCAAGGAAGATGATCCCGTCTGTCAGGCTTCCTCCTTCTTGATAACTGTGGCTCTTTCCGTTCCGCAGCCACCTCTGTCACCCCCTGCACACCTCTGTGAGCGGTGCTCACCATCAGCTCCATGCCAAACCTCTTTGGGCAGGGCTGTAGGGCATGAGACTCATCTTGTCTTCCATAGCCATCGTTTCCTTTGGGACAAGTTCCAAGGGGAACTAACTTCATCTTAACTTTAGTCTTGGCCACCTTTTTCTCTGCGTCCTTACAATCCCATTGACACACTATGTGGCGGAACAGCACGAAGCAGTTAAACCGAAAGATGCTATTCCTCCTCATGCACACTGCTGCATCCGACGAGAAAGCCTTACCTCTTCGGAATTCTCTGCCCCTCCATCCTTCCCGCCACCGCTGCTGCCGGCCTTTGTGCTGCTTTTGGTCGACTTCGGGGACTCCTGAAACGACGAGAAGCCGTTCAGAGAACATGTCACCTTGTGCAGAATCACGGCGGCTCTTTGCAGAGTTCAGCGGCGCGCTGCCACAGGCCCACCCCACCCCTGCAGGCAGCCCAGCTCCCGGGCCCTCCTCCCCTCAGAAGGGTAATGACTGAACCACTGCCCGCCCCGATCCCCCCCAGCTGACAGGGCCCCTGCGCCCGCCCAGCCCTTCCCCGGGGCTGCCCGCAAGGTGCACGGACACCGCCAGGGCCGCAGCGGGTGAGCGGAGCGGAGCGCAGCGCGGCCCGGCCCGGCCCGCACCGCGCGGCGGCTGCGGTAGATCCGCGGGGCCGGGGCGCGGGTGTGGCCGTACCTCGCGCACCGGGGGCATCGCCGCGCCGCGCCCGCTGGGATCACGGAAAGGAAAAGGGGGGGGGGGCGAGTATCACCGGTACCGACGCGCGCCCCCGCCGCCCTCCTGCACCACCCGCCCCGCCCGTCCCGCGCGCCCCCGCCCCCTGCCGGCCGCAGCCCCGCGCGCGCGCGCGCCCCCGCCCGAGGGTCCGCGCCGAGGGATATAGGCCGCGGGCAGGGAGGGCAGCGGGAGCGCGCAAGCGGGCATCGGGTCAACGCCCGACGGGAAGGAGGGGGGGGGCACACCCGCCGCCCAGCGCAGCCCTGCCCATCCCGCCCCGCCGCACCTTCTCCTTCTTCAGCTTGCAGGGCATGATGAGCGCTGGGCCCCGGCCGCTCCGCGCCCCGCCGCTGTCGCCTGCGCCCGGGCCCGGCCGCAGCGCCCCGCTCCCATTGGGCCAGCCGCGCCGCTCTGCCTATCAACAGCCGCCGCTGCCGCCGTGCGGCGCTGACGCAGGGCAGCGGGATTTTCCCATTGGCAGAGCCGCGCACGGAACGCCCCCCGCGGGGCGGTGCAAGGCGGGGCTGCGGGCGAGCCGCTCTTCCGGGGCAGCTCGGCCTCGGCAGTGCCCGGGGGTCCCCCACCGGGCAGCGGCTCTAAGGCCTCGCTGAGTGAGCACCGAGCTCCCTGGGGCAGGCGCCGGGAAGCTGCGCGGTGCTCCCGGGTCACCGGCGGGGGCCTTGCGCGGCCGCCTGCGCCTTGGGAAGAAGAGCTTGGATCCCCTGAGGTGGCCGCAAGAGCTGCGTCCCACCTTGGTGGGGTCGAGGATACTCTCAGCAAGTCGGCACGCTGGAGGGAAAGGATAGGATCCAGAGGGACCTGGAGAGGTGGGACCATGGGGACATGATGGAGTTCACAAGGCCAAATACAAGGTCCTGTCCCTGCATCGGGGCAGTCCCCAGCACAGCCACAGCCTGGGGAAACTGGATGGAGCAGCCCTGAGAAGGACTTGGGCTGTTGGGTGATGAGAAGCTCCCCATGACCAAACTTCAGTGTGCGCTTGAGCCCAGAAACCAACCGTGCCCTGGGCTGCATCCCCAGAGCGTGAGGGATGGAGGGAGGGGATTCTCCCCCTCTGCTCTGCTCTGGTGAGACCCCCCCTGCAGTCCTGGTCCCAGCTCTGGAGCAACAACTCAAGAGGGACATGGAGCTGTTGGAGCGAAACCAGAGGAGGCCACGGAGATGCTCTGAGGGCTGGAGCAGCTCTGCTCTGCAGACAGGCTGAGAGAGCTGGGCTGGTTCAGCCTGGAGAAGGCTCCAGGGACACCTTAGAGCAGCTTCCAGTGCCTAAAGGGGTGACAAGAAACCTGGAGAGGGGCATTTGACAGGGGCCTGTAGGGACAGGACAAGGGGGAATGGCTTTAACCTGACAGAGGGAGGTACTGAAAAAGGACCTCGGGAAGCTCCTGCTCTATCAGATGCAGGCAGGGTTAGCAAGGGCAGTAGGGTGGTGGGCCCTGAGCATCATAAAATGCTGTGAGGCAAGGGGTGGCATCAGAGGGTACCTGGGGCATCAGAGACTGAGAGGGGCAGGGGGAGCACCCTTTGAGGAGCATCATGGGCAGCAGTGCTGCTGGAAGCCTCAGTGGGTGAGCTGCACTGCCAGGGTCAAAGGGGACAGAAATGGCTGAGGTATTCCGTGGGATCAGGGGTACCAGGAGGCAATGGGCAGGAATCTATTGATAGGGGGAGCCCCAGTGGGATGGCAGCCGTGGTGGGCACTTTGTGGGTAGCTTCCAGAGACTAGGGGAGCATTGATGAGTAAAAGGGATGCTGCAGTGGGTGCAAGGCAAAGGGGGACCAGTGGAGGGCAGGCCTGTCCCACATCAAGCCCCTGCTGCCCATAGGTTTTAAAGGACTTGCACTACAAGCACCTTATTACCCTGCACCAAGGCAGGGAGACCTACCTCCTCGGGGAGCGTCCTGGACCTCGGGGTGTCCCCACATGCAGGGCTGCCCAGCATGAGCCTGACCTTCTGTGGGTCCTGTGCTTACGCCTGTCCAGAGATCCTGTTGTTCCCGTGTCAGCACAACCCCTGCCTGCCATCTCCTAGTTCCCCTAGTTGACACCAGACACGGAGCTGACAGTTTCAGTGTGTGCTAGTGCTGCCTTTCTGGGCTGCGAGTACATGCAGCCAGCAACTCCATGTGTTTCTAGGGAGAGAGCATGTACAGGAAGAGCAGGAAAATCCAGTCAGAGGAAAGGTTGGGAAAGCATTTGAGATTGCTTAGCTTAAGGCATGAACAAAGATTAGGGCAGAGCAACAGCGGAAACTATCCCTGTGGGCAAGGCCATGATCTATAGCATTTCTGTATGTCTGGAAAGACCTGGAAGAGGTCAGGAGACAGGCCACGGGGCAAGCACACAGCCTGCTGAACGGCATTGATGCAATCTCCTCCCCAGCCTCTATTCTCCAGGGGCATCTCAGAGGATTTATGACATCCGAGTCCATTCTCCCTGTATCCAAGGCTGTTGGGCAGCTTGCCATTCCCTCTTCACAGGGCTGCACCGTCACTCCCAAGGAGCCCCATACAGCCTTTGCAGAGCCTGCTTTTGGAGCGACCACCACTCGTGACACATCACCAGGCAAAGCTCCTAACACACGGCTGACCATCTCCAGTTGAAGCATTCAGTCTTCCCAACAAGATGTAGGAAATGAAACAAAAATCAGAGACGAGAACACTTTTCTTTTGCTGTTCAAAACATAAAAGAGAACAGAGTCTTTCCAGAAGCCTGGTTGAAAATTTTAGCAATTATAACGAAGAGAAAATCTCTGTAAGGTCTCAAATGTTAAGAGAAGCTTCCAGAGAGGTGGTAAATATGTATTAGCACACTACACAGTACTTTTTTGCTAGTTATCCATATCTTCTGAGACAGTTGAGGCTTGGATTTTTAACAACTGCTTCCTTCTGTTTGGTCCACTGCCTTGTCTTTGTTCCTGGGGTTAATTAGTTCATGTAGTTTTCTCTTGAATCTCCATGCTGCACCAGGTACAGGATCAGCCAGGCGTAAGTCCGATGAAATAATGGATGCAGGACAGTTGAGATCCCTTGTCCAAAGAGCCATTTGCCAGGAAGTGCTTCACTTTTTCACTGTGCAAGGACACAGAACATGATCAACCCAGCAATGGGAGACACAACACATGAGCATGGCAGCTTTCTGCAGTGCATTGCTGTCCTGCTCCCAGTGGTACGGACAGGAGCTATTGCTGATACTGGTGGGGATGGTTTCTTTTTCTTTATATGCCATGACTTGTTTTGAGTACACAATCCCCACACTGCTGGTGTGAGTCAGTTTTGCCCCTCTCCACATCCCTCTATCAGCTGGGCCACTTCCCCATGCTCACACATGTGCTGTAGCCCCAGATAGGGTCTCCCAGGCCCATGCAGACCAGGTTCTTTCATTCCAACTGCCCTGTAATGGCTCTTCACACTGAAGCAGTTTATGATGCCAGGCTCACCCATCCTCCTGCAGACGGGAGTCCACTTCAGGTGCTGGGGTGCCAACATTTCAGTCACTATAGGTTCCTATTCCAGCAGTGGGGTCATCTTCCAGGTGACTGCACTAGGCCACACCACCACAACACAGGGCCCCGCATACCCTTACGTGCGCCGGCAGCCGCACTCCCTAAGCCGGCAGGGTTCCGGCACCACCACAGCGCCCAGGCCCAGCAGAGCGCCCTGGAGCCGCGCCGTCCCTCACCCGCGCGTCGAGGCCACAACAAGATGGCGGCGGGGGCTGTTGCCCTCAGTAAAGATGGCGCCGCGCTCCCTCCGGAAGTGCTGGCAGGCGGCGCCACCGCCCCGAGCCCGCTCTGGAGGCGGGGATTGGCCGGGGGTGCCGCCGTGCCGTGGCGTGGCGCCGTGCGGCGCGAGCGCGGCGCCGCTGCTGCTCTCGCTGTGTCCGCCGCTCCCGGCCGCCGCCGCCGCCGCCGCCGCCGCCCCGGCTATGAGGAAGCGCAACGAGTCGGTTACGGTGGAGCATGAGCGCGCTGCTGCTGCTGCCGCCGCCGCCGCCGCGCCCGCGCCGCTCGACAAGGGCTGCAGCCTGAGGCACAGCCTGCGCCTGCCCGCCGCTGCCGACGACACGGGCATGAAGCGACCGCTGGGCAGGTGAGCGCCGGTCCCTGCGCCGGGCTTTGTTATCCCCCGGCCCTGAGGGGCTGGAAAGACCCCGCCCGCCACCGGCCCTGCGGCCGCAGCAGCCGCTCCTCAGCGGGGAGCACTGGGCAGCTCCTCAGGCTGGCAGCGGGGCTGGTTGCGAGGAGAAGGAAGGGGCCTTTTCCCCGCTTGCCAGCAGCGCGGCGACCGAAGAGCCCCGGGGGCAGGCAGATCCCTGGGAACTGAGGCTGTTTCCCACCTCGGTTGCACTTCCCTGGCTTCCGTGCGCAGGGCGAGCAGGGGCCGTCCCCTCGGGTGCTTTCGAGTTCTCGGTCAAGCAGAGTAATTAGGGGATGGGGTGGTAGCGGGTCCTGCGGCCCCGGCTCTGACCGGCAGAGGCTGGAGGGGTTTGATGCTCGTACCTGAGCGTGGCTCCATCCTTCGCTATCGGGTTCGCTTGCAATAAACGGCTAGCACAAACCCGTCGCCATCTGGGAGTGTATGTGGAGGAGCAGGGGCCTGCAGGTAGGATGGCTTTGTTTATTTATGTTTTTAGGAAGCTGGTGCCTGTCAATGTCATCTCGTCTGTAAATGAATCCGATTTAGCATCTTCCTATAAATGAATCAGATTTAGGTGTTGGTAGATCAGATGCGTGGCTCTGCTGAAAACAGCTTACCTATGGCTTTTGCTGGAAGCATTAACATTTTAAACACGTACCTATGTACATATTTATGGTGGGAAAGTATTCATGTTCCTCTATAAAAACAAATAAATCTGTAGCAATAGGAGATGCTTGTAACATGGGACCACCTTCATACAGGATTTCAAGGGGATGTAATACAGTGAAGACGACTCACAGTTGCAGAGGGCTAGGGAAGAAAAGATGTGACCTTTTAGTCTCATCTCCACCAGTTTGACTGCGTTTCCTAAGCGTGAGGAATATTGAATGGTGAAAGAGCTATGTGGTTTGGGTGGCTGAAGCCAGCTTGCTGTGCTTCAGGAAAACAGCAGCCCATTTAGAAGGAAAAAGTGCCCATCTAGAAAATAAGCCAATGTGGCTGTTTCTCTGATAAACTTTCTGTGCGTTTTTCTGTTCTCATAGCCAAAATTAACATTTGAAATTAACTTTTTCCTGTTCATTGTGTGGATTTTCATCGTGTTCAAAGGCAGAGGCTTAAAATGTTCTTTCTTTTTATTGGGTAATAGCTATTCAGTTTGATGCCCTGGAGGTAATCCTTTGGGATGTTGTCAGCGCTCTGTTCGGGTTACGACAGGCTTTGGTACTTGGAAATGGCGCTGGGCTCATCTCTCCAGTGACTGT